ACAGTTCTGTTGTGCAGGAGGTCATTTCATGAAGGTGTTTATCATGTCTTTTCTGCAGATTTTCATGTTATGGCTGTGTTGCTGTTGGCAGCCGTGTGCTTCAGTAGCTGTGACATTGAGTAATGACAGAAAGCTCACTTTTGGCCTTACACCTCTCCAGAGGTCAGTTAAACTGGAATGAGAGTTTTTGACTGACTTCTCAATGAGTGAAGGAACAGCTGCATAATTCACATCTGATATTCTCTGAAACAAAAGCCAGTTTCAAATTTCCCTCAGAATCATGCTCCTCTCAAGTATTTCTGGCTTTTTTTTTTTCTTTTTCTCTTATTATTTATTTTATTTTATTTTATTTTAATTTAATTTTTAAGTCAGTGAATCCCAGCGAATCCTTGTAGCTAGACTGGAATACAGAAACAATGGTTTAGTTTCAGGACTGGCTACTAAGACTACACATTTTCATTTTGTGAGACTAAGTGTGTGACACATCCACAATTACTCTATTTAAGAGTTCCATTTTTGACTGCCTGGATAGCCTTTGCTTTCTTAAAACAGAAGGAGGCAAAAGTGGGATTTTATTTTTCTATGCATGGTCATAACAGGAGCAGGGTAGTTAGAGGCAGGCAGAATAAGTTTCTGTCTATTTAAGAAAACCCAAACCCAATTGTTTTAACAGTGGAAACACTTGCTGGTTACTCATAATCAAATTGTAGTTATAAATGGGAGTTATAATGAATGCCAAAAGAAATCAGAGGATCAAGAAGGAAGATAATTTTTGAAGCTGTAAGAAGCAAAGGAAAATTGGACAGTCATGACCACTGCATCCTCTGCAAAAAAGTACTTCCTGTGCATTTATAATTGTTTTATAATTACATTAATAATGTTTGAATAGAACTAGTCTCCTTTTCTGTTATAAAGCTCTGTCTTAATCTGGCTTGTTGCCAGAGAGTGGGTTTTTTTGTTGTTTTTTTTTTTGTTTGTTTGTTTGGTTGGTTGGTTGGTTGGTTTTGGGTTTTGGGTTTTTTTTTTCAATAGAACAAAACCTACCGAAGAGGTGAAAAACTTCTTTCTCTGAGTTGGGTTTTTACTATTATGAAGTGTGGCTTCCATTCTTGAGTTCTCTGTTATCAGCCTAGCTCCTGAGCTGTGCCTGAACAACCTTAAGTCTTTCAATAGATGTTTTCAGAAAATGATGTGGTTTAAACACTGCCTTGCTTTAATAGGCAAATGAATTACTGGAAGTGGATTCAAAGCTGGAATCTGAATAGGCATATAATTTCAGGTTATAGTTTATATGTTGCTGATAATGACAAAGAATAATTGAAAATTGATTATTAGTAATTTGTTATTTACACTGCAGAGATTTAATATGTTGTGTGAAGAAGGAATAAAAATAAGTTGGTCATGAAAAACTTGAGCCACGTAACAAGAGACCTGAGTTGAGAGTGAAGGTATGAATGCCCATTAATTCAATATTGAATTTAGACACTAAAACTTTGAATACTGGTGGTTTTTTTCAGCTGGAAAAACTTTTAAGTGAACAATTTCTCTGCTGCAACTTGTGTTCCAATGATGATCAGGTAAGAATAAAAAATAATTTAGTGAAGTATAAACAAATCTTGTTATGTTATGTGGAATGATGCTTGTAGATTCAGGAGTAAAGCTCATCCTCAGGATCTGAAAGTAAGAGGCTAAAAGTTGTGTGGCTCACTTTGAAGTGCCTGGAAAGAAATTCTTCGGTGCCCAGAGCCCTCTGGTGTTGCCGTCGGCTGTAACAAACATCAACCATCCACACCAGCACAGCTCAGTGTAACCTGCAGGTGCTCTGACCTGTCAGGAAAGACCTGCCAAGCCAATCACTTTCTCTCACCCAATCATTTATTGACTCCATCATTTATCTATGGTTAAAAAATGGTAATTTGTTTTTGACAAAGCTAAGTGGTATAATTTATCCTAGCTTATAGGAAGGTTTGCTTTGGAGCTATTACCCAATCTGTGTCAGCAACAATTCAGAGCAAAGATAGGTCCTGTGTAAAGGAAAATTTAGGAAAAATGTAAGTCTGCTCTATCACATCCATTGCAGCGCTCTGGTTTACATTTACTCCATGTCTTGTTTCAAGATCTTTCATTTAGTCTTTAATGCCCAAAAGCATGTTGTTCCCTGTCCTCCTTTTGAATTTAGGGTTCCCATATGCTCTTTCCCAGCCCTGGGACTGATCTGTGATAGAAATCCTTCCTTCCCCAAGGCAGGGTCTCCAGTACTTGCTCAGACACAGCCTCGGTGTGCCTCCATGATTTACCTTATGTTCCTCTTGCTTCCTGTCTCCCCATGCCAGGACTGAAGCCTGTCAGTGCCCTTGCTTCTATTTCTGTTTTTCTTTCTTATGCCACCAAACTCTGCTGCCCCTGCCATTATCACCTGTCAGTATTTCCACGTGCCACATGTCTCCCCTTCTCTTCTTCCTCATTGTACTTTTTTTTTTTCTCTTTCAGTGTATGAAATGGCTGGTGGTACAGACTTCTGACACACAGGGCTCTCCAGGAAACAGGATATCTTCTGGGATGCTGAAATACAGGCTTTGTACAGGAAAACAACTAATGATCTTGAAGCAACATGCAGGAAATCTGCCATTTCAGTAAGTTAATGGTGGGCAAGGAGCTGTTGTGGACCAACAAAGCACATAATAATTAATTTTCTATTATAGACATTATTTCCCTTCTGCAGAATGAACAGGAGAATAATCATTTCGTAGCCTGCCTGGTAAGGCCAGAAACTCTGTTACACACCAAACTGGTCAGGAATTCAGTAGTAGTGCTGCATTGGGAAGCCTGGCGGGTTAGCTGGGAAGGGAGGAACAGAGCAGTGTGCCACCTGGGGGCGGCAAAAGAGCCCAAGGCATGGAAAAAACGAACAATGTGTCAACAGGAAGCTGGGACGGAGCTCGGGATTTCTGCCAGCAGGAAGTATGGTGGTGTTAGTGTTTCTCACGGAAAACTCAGTGCTCGCTTCTGAAGGGGGAAGTATAGGGGTGGTTATTGTCCTGTAAAAAAAAAACAGGTGCGAGAGCAGCCTAAGCTGCCTCAGGGCACCCTGTTGAGCCATCCAAACTGTAGGGTAGGAGAGAAGTTTTTTAATAAACTTCAGCTTTTTACCGTTCCCCTTACAAAGCCTAGGGCAGTTATTCATAGGATGTCGCTTGGCATTACACAATGTACAGTCAGAGCTGTGGTGGCGGGTTCAAAGTACCCTGTTACTAAAGCTGAGTAGTGTAAGAAAAATTCCACAAATCCAAGAAGTTTATGTCCAAAAAGGAGACTGAGGAGTCCTGCAATTTTATTTGAAGAAAGGGAGAGAGTCTACCAGGCCACACACCTGTGGCATTTGCTCTCTCGAGGTTTCAGAGGGGGCACCCTCCTTTTATCCTGAACTCCCGGCTGCCTGCTGCCCTCTCCCTTTCCCCATTGGCTGAGGCACCAGGAAGGTTCAGCCTTCCAGAACCACCTCCCACATATCCCACCTTGAACCTGGCATTTTACCCTAAAGTTCCGACCCTTGTTTGTTTCAGGAGCAGAACTGCCTGAACTCTGCTACAAACCCAAAGTCAGCAGAGACATTGGGACCCATTTCAATGACATTAACACCCAACCTTCCCCCAGCAAATTGTTTGTAGAGACATGAGCTTTCCTCTCAGTAGCAGCCGCATAGATTTACAACAGTGCAATTTTAGATTAATTTATGTTGCAGTGGGCCCTAATACATGAGACAGACTGGTTTGAAATACTTCGTATAGCTTATGCCAGTCAGGTAAAGAACTTTCAGGGCTACAAAACATGTGCAGACTCAGAGAGGTGCTTGCTTCCTGAGAGTTCACTAAGTGATAGCAGCTAAGGTGATGTGCTAGGAACACTTCCAAGTGTTTGGTTTTGAGTGTTTTTCATTTAAAGCAGTATCAAAGCTCTATAGGGTGTTAGGTACCACATTGACTTTTGACCTGGAACTATGTTTTAAGGACCCAGCAACTCTCACACAAGGGATTCACTGAAAAGTCAAAGCAGATGTGCTGTAAAATGCTCAAAATTTATTAATCATAATTGCTTTTTAGTGTCTTAAGGAACAAAAATAAAGTAATATTCAAAACCAAAAGAAAATATGCCATACCCAGACAACATGACTGAGAGTAAGATATGGGATAACATTAATTCTGAAAGAAATTACCCAATAAATCAGTTAAAAAAAAAAGTAATAAATAGTAGTGGTCCAACTTTTTAAAGCTTCCTAGGAAAGAATTTACAATTATTATTATTATTATTATTAATAATATTATTATACTTTTGTTTAAAAAAATCCTTCATATGCCTCTGTTGGCAAATATATATATATATAATTCTTCTGTAAACAGTTAACCACATAACAAAACAAAATTAAAAAATCCATATTTTCATACAGCTACTATGCTGATGGTGTTATGTAAACAAAAAGTAGTGTGCAGCAGCTTCTCACAATAGGATTTTTCCTTTTCCTCACAAAAACATGTAGGGAAATATGTCCATTATAAATTATTCAAAATATTGAAGTTTATAGTTTTGAAAAGATATGGCTTTCTGCCCTCTAAGTTTTCCTCAACAAAAAAAAAGAAACTTATAGAAGCAGAGGGGTACAGTTTTCCTTGGGTTTGGTTTGTTTTCTGGATTTGTCTTTTGATTTTTCTCGGTGAACTGTAATGAAAATGTTATTAGAAGTCCAGCACTTCTCAGAAGACAAATGAACAGAAAATGTCAAGATGAACTTACACCTCTCAAGGTGTAAAAGAACAGACGTAAAAACCAATGGGAGATATATTGATAATGAAAGCTGAAATTCTGTAGACAGACAGACTGAGGGTTTATGCAGAAAATATCATCTCTTCATCCAAAATTTTAGCTGCTCTTGACACTTTTGTATTTTTTGAAGTTTCTTTATTTAGTCTTATGCTCAGCCCTTGTTTGACGACTTCTCTCTAGTTCTAATTTTTGACATTTGCTTGCTCCTGAGAGGTCTTTATCTGCTGTGTCTCCTGTTGGGTGTTGCCTTGGGTAACGCACTCAGCATCCACACAGCTGCATTTCTCCACATAGGTGTAGGAGTGATCAAGGGAGGTTCCATCACTGCACATCAGAGTCACCTTTCTCTTGCTGGTCTTGATTTCCTGACAACACGAGCATTTGTGCACCATGGTGTTTGTCGTTTGAGAATATCTGATAGAAAAACCAATAAGAAAGATTCAGAATTTATGTGAGATATAATGCTGTCCCTCCCAAACATTACAAAACATAACCAGAAATTGCGTGCTTGGATGTGGGACTGTTGGTCAATATTAGCATTCTTACAGTATTGTGGTGAAATACAGGTAAATTGCTCCTCATTGTAAAAATTTATGACTCTAAGTCTTCATTAAGGCACAGAAAAAGTAAAGAATTATTTCAGATCACATAGTGAGCCAGTCCAGTGAGATAACAATGAGAAACAAATAACCTCAGTTTTAAATGGGCAAAATCAAAATTTTGATTTATTCACTATGATGCTGAACAGGCTGTTGAACACTGAATCTCGAGATAATCAAGCTAGCACAATATCATGTTCATTAGCACAATGGAAACAGTTGATGGCTGGCTGGATGTTGGACACATCAGAAAAACACTTGTGATTTGCTTGATGTAACTGGTGTAAAGAGTAGAAGACAAGAGGCCACCATTATCTTTTATGCCACTTACCGTGAGTAAGCATCACAGCTGCCTTCACAGTATGTTATCTCAACAGGTGCAGGAGACACACAGCCATTGTAGTTGATGACAGTAGTCGTATTGTACTTCATACAAACTGAGGTCATCACAAAGCAAAGGCAAACAGGTTAAAATACATGTGCATATAAATAGATAGCTGTGTATGATATGACAGTTTGTAACTGAAAACTAAGGAGGATGGAACAGAAATAGAAAACTAAGTCACAATGCATTTTTCTTTTAATTGCTGAGGGCCAAATGAAGACTTGGTGTTTGTGTTATCAGTGGATGAAACTCTCCCTTTTTCTTAGACAACTTGATTCAGAATGCAGAAATTAAGAGCAGTACTGTGGTAACTGCTTGATGCACAGCCATCTCTCAGAACTGGCTTCACTTTCCTCCTTGAAGAGAGTCTATCTATGGAAGTTGGAGAGCAGTCATTGTCCTCACCCTCCCACAAAAAAGCCAGCATTTAACAGTAGGGAATAGGAAAGTTTTACTGTTTTATCTGTTTTACGGGGACTTAAAATGCATAATGCAAATGTCCTGTTTCTTTTCCACCTGTTTCCTTTCTCACCCCAGTGAAGCAGTGAACCCAAACCTGGTCAGTTCACCTCATCTGTCTATGCACCCATTGTGCAAAATGAGCTAATATAGCTAACCAGGCACATATAATCAATACTTTTAACAAAATTATTATTACTTACGTTTTGGTACTCTTCGGCACACTAAACAGCAGCCATCGTCAGATAGCCTGATATCATCCTTAAGTGGGAAAACATAAAAAGATAACTCAGGTTTCATATCTGCATGCTAAAGCAGACTTTCCCTGCTTTCTGATTTTCTCTGGCACCAGAGACTGTGTATATTTTTGTATTGCCATGGAATCTAATTTCAAGCAAGGCTAAATATTAAGGGCACATAATTTTTATCAATATTAAAGACATGATTTGAAAGTTGAAATGGAGGAAAACCCTCAGTTTAGTAGTATAATTTCAGCAAGCAATAAAGCTCCTAGAACATGTAAGTCAAAATATTGTGACCAAAGTCAGTAAAGGTGAAGGATTAAAACAGACAGGGTAACACAATGAATGAAATAAGTGACTTGCCAGAGGCTGATTTTTGCTTTTAGGTCACTTGACACTTTAGGAATCCAAAATATCATGCTGTATATTTTTCTCTCATGTCTGATCCTCAGTGAGGATTTTTATATCACTCATTTTAATTTTGAGTTGCTTTTCTGAGATAAAATTTGACTGGGACTAGGTTCAGAGAGGATAAAAGGAGAGTTACTTCCTGCATGATGCGTCTGCTAGTTATTTTCATTGGACACTTTGATCCTTCTATCACTGGTGTTAGGCACTGCAGCCTTTCCAGAAATGAGAACTGGAAGGACAGTACTTACTGGATCACACTCATCATGGTTAAAGGCAGGACAGCTTGCCTCTTTGATGACTTGAATGAACTGGTCAGCATGTTTTTCACATGTGTAAACAGTACAGTTATCACCAGGTGGATTCCAGTGTTCTCCTTCCTGAAAGTAGTCAAAATTAAAACAAATTAGGATCATCTTATATAAAAATGAAACAAAGGCCCTCCGATGTCTTACTGTTGCTGTCTATAGTAGTTTGATTATTCCAAACAACTTCCTTGAATTTCAGCTGTTAATTATTTGCCACATTATCATACTGCTATTAAGTGTTTTTCATTGACCAAGTGAGAAGGTTCTATTTTTATATGGATATAGAGGTGCTTTTTGTGTGAATAGAGTAAGTACGTGGACTCATTTGGAAAGAATGATTTGCATTTCAAAATGTTTTGTCATTAGAATTTATGGATGTGTCAAAATGCCTCCACAGATAAAATTGTCCTTTGAGCAAAATGGATGCTACAGTTTCAGAACTGGAGGCAAACAATAGCCCTTTGCCTCCACCTACGTATTTTCCTATGTTGATTTCTGAAAGCCATTGTTCAGCATCATAGCGCAGTTGCTTCCAGAAGTCTTAGAACTGGCATTTTGTCGTGTAAGGTATTGTTTAGGCTGTGTGGAGATTGTCCAGCCCCTGCCTGAATAAGCATTTGTCTAATATAAGAAAAGATGGAGGAAATAAATGTGACAACAACAAGGAGAGGAAAGAATGGAAAGACTAGCAGAGTTCCCCAAAAGTGAGGTAAACCAGAGGTAATTACGTGGAGCACGTGTGTAATGTTGTCTCCCACAGTCACTACACAAGCCGCTGCCTTGCACATGCCACAGCACTGTCCGGGCTCCACAGTGTATTTATAGCCCTGTTTTGAAAGAAATGGAGAGACAATGGCATTAAGTCATTAATATCACTGACCTGAACTGGTGGTTATTAGAGCTGAGAGGGGTAGGAATTTCTGGCAGCAGACCAGCACTCACCAGTGGGCAGTATGTGTCACAGATAACAGGCTGGCATGTGACCACGAGGTCCTGAGGCCTTGAGGGAGAGGATGCAGAGCAGGTACATTCTTCACAGGGGCCTGATGGAACGGCAGCTCCAGGCTAGGAGAAGTTGGAAAAACCCTTTATTAGTCAGTTAAAACAAGTTGCTCCATGTATACAAGTTACAGAAAATACAAAGATTAACTATGTATAGGCTAAACTATCCATAAATACAATTTTGGTTGTTTTATTTAAGCAGAGTTTCTGGTTTGGTAATATCGATTTTGGAATAAAATTCTGCTAATGTAGAAAGGAGAGCAGAATAAGATTTTGCTTGTCCAGAGGGTGTTAACCTCAGCGAAATAATGAATAATATTTTATCTCAGGCCTTCCTACAAAATATGGACCATGATAGGTGTCTCAAAAACACTGCACTGTGAACTATGGGAGGGTATATTTTTATAGTGAGTAACTCTGTGTACTTACTGCGTAATAGGTTTCATTGACTACACAGCCCTGTCCTGTAAAGAAGGAAGAAAGAGATGTAAGTTTTAGGAGACAGAAACATATGAAAAAACTTCTGTTTCATAGCTTTGTAGGTCCTTTTTGTAAGCTGTGGCAGTGGCCTTAAAACACTCATTCACGACAAGGCCCAATATGATACCACAGATATCTTGCATCTCTCTCTTATAAGTTTTTTGTAACCTAGAAAAATACAGAGGTAAATACCACATGAGGAGGGTGCACAATACTTACTGCATTCAAAGATAGGACAGCAGTTTCCAGGTGGCATTATTGTGATTATTTCCTGTCCCTCTAAGCACTGGGGTGTGATGTCAGTGCAGAGGCTTGTGTTGCAGTCTGTTTCATGTAAGAGAATATGGAAAATAATGAGCTCAGAATTTTTCAATTAAAGCAATTTTGTTTTACATGAACTTCTGAAGTCTTCCCATGGGGTAGATATGGTGTTTACACAAGATAGCTAAATGACTAATTCATACTATGTGCCAAGGTGTTTTTGATGTGATCAGGCTTTCCCATAATCTTTGTGAAACAAAACACTGAGAAAAACAGAGTAATAATTGCTGGAAAGAGATAATTTCAAAGAGAAATTTGCACCACTGTGGAAATCTGATGACTCTCTGGTCTGATAACTGGTTCTGGAACTTTCCTGAGCAATTTTTAAATAATCAGGACTATTTTTTTAAGTTAATTTTCCTAATACTGGTCTTTGAAATGAAATCAAAAATGTTTTTTGAATATTATTTCAGGTAGTGGCAGTATTAAAGGATTTCAATGTAAACTTATAGGAGATTTTCAGTTACTTTTCTATGTCTAACTATATAAAATCTTTTAATCTTTAAATTTGTTATCGTAAGGCATTTACTGTATGCTCTGCAAGAAGGCTCTAAAAAGCATTATGACATCAATGCAAAGTATTAAAAAAATGCAAAATTATTGCTGTAGTTTCCTAAAATTAATATAATTCTTTATCATGTGGAATAGGTTAAGACAGTACTCACAGCACTCAGTCCTAGTACAGCATGGATCTTCTGGTATTGGTATCTCAACAGGCATGTAACCTGGTTCTTCACAAAATACTTGCTGTGTCAGAGAACATTCATGCTTTGTACATTTCACCTTAAGAGTATTTTTGTCACAGACACATTCCCGACAATCTTTTGTCCATTTTTCTCCTGGCTAAATAAAGAAAAACACAGACAAAGGAAAGAAAAAAATTAAATACAAAATTAAACCAAAATAATTTTATTTGCTTCTAGTTAACATATTCATGCATATAGTGATAACTGATTATATCAGGTTTTTTATATTCTAGACTTCATAGGAGACCCTCAAACTGCTTATTCCAGGAAGACACTGGAGGCTGCTAAAGGTTCTGAGTTCACAAAGCTATTACTTTTTATTTGTTAATAGTGTTAGTATGAGAGTTACAGGAGTTCTAAAGGAGAAATGATTGAGCCTCACATCCATTTTTTAATAAGAGATGATCATATAACATACTCATTTTCAGATTAGGTTGCTGATTTCTGTGCAGCTGAGGAACTAAGAATGCAAGATATGAACATGATAAGCAACAGGTAAACTTTGTTATCCATCTCTCCCTTCGTTTCTAGTAATTTTAGCAAGCCAAATTTGTGGAAATAAAATAAGCATATATGCCTAACTTCCACTACTACCATTTCACTCTCTTTTTTTTTTTTTTACATTTTTTTCCTGTATGTGAGTTTAATGAAAGAATATTTTATTGCTTATTGTTAAATTTCTTAGGGGTGCTCTAGTACTCATTATTTTTAAGACTGAAAGTGAACAAACATTTGTTTGTTCAATGACAAAGCCTTGGTTTAGTGGAATACTAAATATCATCTTGTTTCACTTGTCTGTGCTCATTAAGCCATACTTATTGTGATACTCACCCATCTGGACATTCCATTTGGTTCTCTGCAGGCTAGAGAGAAAAAGAAAAAAAGAGACAAACAAATGAATGGGTATTTACACCATTGAAAACTGACAAAGGAATACATACGTGCAGTTTCAAATAAAAATACTGTGAAGATAAAGCTAACAAGAAAATGAACATGCAGACTAATTTTGCTGAACTGTAGAGTTCTACCATCTTGGTGAGTCTTACATAAGGAAGGATGATGGGAAAAAAGGGTAATATTGACTATTATTCAATTTGTAACTGGTGGCACTTAGGGAAGCTGATGTGCAATGATCTGACCATGTAGAAGATGACTATAGAACTCAGGCCTCCTGACTAACAATCCCTATCTCTATTTATTCCCCAAATTAGCTACAGATGACTTACAGCATTCAGAGACACAGATGTTGCTCTCTGCACGCAGGAGTGTCATTCCTTCAGGACAGAAACAGCCTTCAGTTACTCCATAGCCAGGACGCTCATAGCTGGAATGGGAAGAATATATGTGCTTGAGTACAACACTTTTGTGCTGAGGCAGAGGGCAGAGCAGTGTATCATGTCAGATACAAGAGAGACAAAAAATGTACACTTTCTGAAGGGCAACAGGAAGCACCTGCTCCTAGAGCTGACCGGTATTTATAAATCTTGAATAAATTAGTGAAATTCACAACACATTTCATTGTGAAATAACTCAAATTTCTGAGGAAAGTAGATAGACAAGAAAAATATAGGCAGGTGCCTCAGGGTGGGGTGTTTTCTTTTTCCATACCTTTGGTCACAAGTAACTGGATTAATGGGCCCACATGGCTTGTATAGCATGCTTGATGGACAGCTGAATGCTGCATGGAAAAAAGAAAAAAAAAAAAGATTAAAAATTGACAGTAGATGCATTTTTTTTCAGAAAAAAATTACTCCAGCTTTGCCTTCTTAATCTGCGGCTTCTGTGAGAAAGGACCCCACTGGGTTTTTGTAGACAGTAACCAAGTGTCAGATATAAGACTTGTTTAGTGAATAAAGCACTAATTTCTACCATTTATCACACACATTTTGGTCCTGCAACACTTACAACATGTGTTGTTGGTCATTCCTCTCCAGTCAATGCAGACACCTCTAGCAGCACACTCTGTAGCATATATCTCCAAACTGGAACACTGCATGGATTCATCGTCTATGCGACATCCATCAAAAACACAGCCTTTGAAAAATGGTTCTGGTGGTATCACAGTATGACATTCTGCAAAAACCCTGCAGACAGTAAAGAAAGCAACCCCCTTCTATATTAATCAGCCATTTTACAAAGTCTGTTCCTGTCAGACAACACTTTCCAGTTAATACCATGTGACTCTGCTTCAGAAAGGAAGGTATTATGAGAAACAAGACCCTAGGAATGGCCAGTAAGCTGGGAGATAGATTCAGGAAAGATTAAGAAATCTGTAGTGCCTTTTTTTCCTAAAGATGTTAATGGTCATAGTATTTCTGTATGTGTATGCAACTTTTTAGTGGCTTGACATCAGAAATATAGTGTAAAAGGCAACTGCACTACATTGAAAAAAGTAGCAGTAGAAAATTCACACATAAAATAGCTCCAAACTTACTAGATACTACAGAAAGCATATATAAGAGGGCTTTTATAAGTAACCTTGTCAGCCTACACAGATATAGGACATCAGACAACAAGCCTTTGCACTTTTGGAATCCATATTTTAGCTAAAACGTACAAAGAAAGAAGGACATTTCTCATCTGTTTGCATCTGCTCTCTTCACCTGTTTGGTAAATGGCTTCTCTACAATTTGTACTGAAGACCCACTTCAAATTTAGAGTTCAGTCTTTGCTTAATACTTAATGAACAAACTCTGGAAGTACTGCATCCAGGGAGTATTGATTGTAGTGCTCGCTGCATCCCTGATTTTCTGACTTTACCTCTCCTTGCTCAGTTATCTTTGGCATGCAAATCATTAAGGCAGACCAGTTTCTTTTGCAAAGGCCTTTTACTATATATATTCTGTCACTAAGCTGACATTTTCAGTTATCACATGCTAAAGCTATAGCTTTATTCTTCTTGTAAGATACTGAGACAGTTGTGTCTAGAAAAAATGAATTTGTTTTCTTACTCGCTCAAGATAAGTTTGCAGAGTGGAGGTGTTTGACATTGCGGCTTTGGTGGAGGTGTAGTTATAGTTGGTGGTATTGGCACTCCATGGCATGACTTGTTGTTGTCAACAATCCAGTGATGAGCCATCTGGGGACAGGAGGAAATGATCTTACCACTTGGTAAGCGGCATTCATCTTCTTTATTGTTTGTACACGTTCCTGGAAGAGACAAGGTCAGTAAGTCTCCTAAGCCACATCAGAGATGCACAATACATTCATGGGTTGATATGTTTAGGTGTGATGTGCTCATGAAATGCATATTTTGCTTTGCTTCCTAGGGAGCACTTTCTCTAGGTTGAACTTTAGGTTATGGAAAAACAAACAGATGTAAAACCCCAGCCTCAAAGATATATTGAGCTTTTGACATCCTACAGAAGTTGAAGAGCAAAACTGTACTCATTTCCATTTACTGCTGTTTAAAAATCTCTGTCAATTGTAAGACTGCAAAGCCAGAGTGGGTGAGCATAACGAAGGTTGGGGTAGGGAAAGAGGACTCCCTCCAATCTGTGCAGCCTTCTTACCACATTGTCCTTCGGTGTTGTTGCCAAATTTGCTGTATGGGAGCTTGACAGAGAAAATCAGACCACTAAAGGTGATGACTGCACCAATTTCTTCTATTTCAACAATCATATTGATGCCAAGAGTGGAGAAAGAAATGCCATCTTTTTTGAAGCCTGGTCCAACAATCTTTTTGTTGAAGTACATCTAAATGCAGGGTTAAAAAAAAACACCAAACCAAAACACCACATCAGAATAAGCACTGCTTCTGCCCGATTGTTTTAAATAATATATTTTCTAATCTTCATAATTATGGATAAGTCCATGTTGTTGTTCATCACATCCAGTGCCCATTGGCATCCTAATGACAGCATATATTTGCATTGCTATCTTGGCTTGTATTGCTATATTGCTAAAATGTGATAATAATCCAAGTGGCCTCTACATACTGTGTTTGTGATGATTGTATGCTAATACACAGTATTCTAAGCATATAAATCCAAGTATTTTCATTGTATCCCTCATGATTATGTGCCTTGGAAACATTTTTCATATGAAAATGTGTGGTAGTTTTCTTTAGCTACAGAAACATCCCTGCCATTATTATGTGATAACTTTGCCAGATAGTCACACCATCTCTATATTACATAGTAATTGACATAGGAAGAGCTGTCTGAATTCAAAATTAAATCCGATGCCCTTAGTGCCAGTTTTACGTAGTAGTGATCATATATATTTGTTAAAATTTTCAATTTGCAGCCACTATCTTATATGAGTTAATAAAGGCAAATTATTTGCCTAATAGTTTTTTGTCAGAAGTTATTCTGCAGCTCTCTTGTCACTGAATCAGGCTAAAGCACGAGTTAAAATTGTCAGTTACTGTTTTCTTTCACAGGGAACCAACATGTATTTCTGACTGAGAATTTGGCATGGCATTCTAAGGCAAGAGTGCCTATTCAGACAAAATTTTCTCCCTTTCTACAGATTCTCTAATCAATGAACAGATTCTCCAATGTAAGAGTGGGACTATCTTTTCATTTTCATTGGTTTGCCAACACTATTTTGGATCATGAAGGTCAGGTGACAGTCTAAGTTACCACTTTTCTTCAGCTATACCTCTCTTCACTGTAGGAAATTGAAGGGGGAATTGTGTCAGGGCTGTTTGGTGCCAAAGTTCCATATGGAGAGAAAGCAGTCATCCAGCATATAAGGGATACATATCCATCTTCCCTCTGGGAGAAGATTCCTGCTTGCAATTTGCATTTGTGTTTCTTCAAAGTGTGCTTGTTTACATAAGTGTATGGCACAATGTACCAGTTTTCATGAAACACAAATTTTGTTCTTAGCATCCAGCGCAACCCTTTTTTTTCACCCTAGTGACAACCCTCTGCCCTGATCACCTCCATGATGTGATATTCCAACAGACTGTATCTCAAAATAGCATCAGTAAGGCTCATAGACACTATTTCTTTTTTGCAAAAATAGAAAAAAAGTATTTACCACATTGGTCATCACACCATTCATGAGCTGACGAGTCAGCACCACTTCTGCAGATTTGTAGAAAATAATAATAGATTTAGGGCAGGAGAGTCCATCTTTTGCATCGCAGTAATAATTGTCAATGTAAACACGGAAGTTGTCATATCTAGGGACAATCTGTTTCACCAGGACATAAGTGCAGTTTTCAAGGAAGGTATAATAGGTTCCATCAAAAGTAATGTAATGAGGATCACCCCATCCACTACACACACCTGTACAGAGAAAATATTTGGAAGATAAGGATGAGAATTTAGGTAGAAGAAAATTTAAAACCTGAAGATACTGCAATTTATAGAGCAACCCTAAGAAATGAAAATGCCCATATAACCTGTGTAAAGCTTGGCCTTTTTTTCTATTTTTTAAATGTTATTCCCGTATCTAATGATGCTTACATTGACACTCATATCGGTAACAGCATCCATTTTCATCAGGTACCAGCATTGGTGGATATTTGTTAGCACAGGTAATTTCCTTTACTGGTGGGCAGTACGTTGGTACTACATCTATATTGTTGTCTCCATTACAGATGACTTCTGTACAGTTGGATAATTTGAATCTTTCTCCAGGCTGCAAAATGAAGAAAAAGCTTTTTTCAAAAAACTCTGTAAACAGGTATAACCTTCACTGCTCTTTTTAGATTTATGCTATGTTTCCAGTAATGGTAGTGTTGGAAAGGAAATCAATGTGTGTTACTTCTCCTCAATTTTGATATTAATTACTTTTAATGGGAACTACAGGCATTCAAAATTCTGACCATGTTATGGGGAATAAACTACACTTACTTTACTGAAACTAAAAAAAAAGACTAAAATGAAAATTTTCACTGAGAGAAAAAAGTTGTCAATATAATACAGGATTAACTTTTTAATGTTAAAAGGAGGTGGAAACCTTAACAACACTTGTTACTTCTGCATGAGGAACTCTTCTGGAGCTTGGGGACACATATTAGGTTACAGAAACTGCTTTCCTATATTCTGTGTATAGCGTACTTCACGGTCAACAGAGAACATAAAAAAAGTTTAAAGGAGTATAGATAAAAGGGCAGAAGAATGGAAACAGATACAAGCCTTGATTGAATCTCAAATATTTCCCATTAGTGAAAAAATAAGATACATAGTCCTTCTATTATGTCAGTGAGAAGATACCTTACATATGCAATGCACCAAAGAGTTTGACTAAAAATTAAATAACAAGAAAATAATATTGTCACTTGCTTTAGCAGTATAAAAATCTGAAAGTCAGAAAGAGGAAAAAAACAAATATTATGTCCAATACATTGCCAATCATTAGCAAAATAATTAAGACAATCAGCACATTTAAGTTTTAAAAACTACAAAGTCTACCAAACAGATACCACGCAATAAATGAGAATATTTCAACAGTCAAAAACAAAGACAAAAATAACATACTTGTAACGGAGGGTAAAGACTGGAAACACAACCATGAAAAGCAGGACGTGTAGAAGTGGGAGGCAGAGGAACTGCGGTTGTTATTGTGGACCACTCAGAGGAACTGGTGGCTGGCAAAGTAGTGACAGGACAATGTACAGCGTGTCGTTCAATATTACATGTTGGGCTACAGATGGCATAAAATCGACATCCATCACTATCAATTCGGTTGTAAATCAAGTCACCTGTAAAAAAAGAAAAAAGAAATATAAGAAGAAAAAATCAAACAAAAAAATGAAAGGCATAAAAAAAGAAAAGGATAATTAAAAAAAAAGAAACACGAACACAAAATCCATAACAAAAAGAAATAGCAAATAAATAAAAACAACCAAAAAAATGCAAACTAACCAGGTGAAAAAATAGAATCACCAATCTTGCAGAAACATGGCGTGCTCGAAATGGGAGAAGTTGTTGTAAAGAATGCTTCACTAAGGGTACTAATGGCGGATGTGCTAGTGGTGGTAGAGAGGGTGGAGAATGGGCAGTTGTAGTTGGGGGTGCAGCAGAGCACGCGGATCTTGTAGTTGAGGCACATCTTGAATTTGCCCGTCTGGTCCTCGTTCTTGCACACCAGTCCAAAGTGGACGTCGCACTGCACGACCTGCCCCACCTGCTGGATAGCAACGTCGGGGTAGTCCTCCGCCCGGCACTCGATCTGCTTTGGCTGCCGGCAGACCTGCTTGCCGGCGGCACGGATGTGCTGGTAGGTTTCGAAGTCTCCCTGGTTGGGCCCCGAGGAGGGGAAGTCGACGTCGAACCATTCGCTCCAGGTGCACACTTCGGGTTCACAGGGGGTGGTGGAGGAAGTTGTGGTAGAGGTCGTCGGCGTGGGGATGGTGGTGCTGGTGGAAGTGATGATTTCGGTGGAGGTGGGACTCGTGGTAGTGGAGATGTATGGCGTGGAGGTGGAGGTGGTGACTGTGGTGGTGGAGGACGGGATCGACGTGGTCGTGGTGCTGGTGGTGGGGCTGGTTGTAATCACAGGGACTGGGGGGAGTGAGCAGTTGTAGTTGGGGGTGCAGCAGAGCACGCGGATCTTGTAGTTGAGGCACATCTTGAATTTGCCCGTCTGGTCCTCGTTCTTGCACACCAGTCCAAAGTGGACGTCGCACTGCACGACCTGCCCCACCTGCTGGATAGCAACGTCGGGGTAGTCCTCCGCCCGGCACTCGATCTGCTTTGGCTGCCGGCAGACCTGCTTGCCGGCGGCACGGATGTGCTGGTAGGTTTCGAAGTCTCCCTGGTTGGGCCCCGAGGAGGGGAAGTCGACGTCGAACCATTCGCTCCAGGTGCACACTTCGGGTTCACAGGGGGTGGTGGAGGAAGTTGTGGTAGAGGTCGTCGGCGTGGGGATGGTGGTGCTGGTGGAAGTGATGATTTCGGTGGAGGTGGGACTCGTGGTAGTGGAGATGTATGGCGTGGAGGTGGAGGTGGTGACTGTGGTGGTGGAGGACGGGATCGACGTGGTCGTGGTGCTGGTGGTGGGGCTGGTTGTAATCACAGGGACTGGGGGGAGTGAGCAGTTGTAGTTGGGGGTGCAGCAGAGCACGCGGATCTTGTAGTTGAGGCACATCTTGAATTTGCCCGTCTGGTCCTCGTTCTTGCACACCAGTCCAAAGTGGACGTCGCACTGCACGACCTGCCCCACCTGCTGGATAGCAACGTCGGGGTAGTCCTCCGCCCGGCACTCGATCTGCTTTGGCTGCCGGCAGACCTGCTTGCCGGCGGCACGGATGTGCTGGTAGGTTTCGAAGTCTCCCTGGTTGGGCCCCGAGGAGGGGAAGTCGACGTCGAACCATTCGCTCCAGGTGCACACTTCGGGTTCACAGGGGGTGGTGGAGGAAGTTGTGGTAGAGGTCGTCGGCGTGGGGATGGTGGTGCTGGTGGAAGTGATGATTTCGGTGGAGGTGGGACTCGTGGTAGTGGAGATGTATGGCGTGGAGGTGGAGGTGGTGACTGTGGTGGTGGAGGACGGGATCGACGTGGTCGTGGTGCTGGTGGTGGGGCTGGTTGTAATCACAGGGACTGGGGGGAGTGAGCAGTTGTAGTTGGGGGTGCAGCAGAGCACGCGGATCTTGTAGTTGAGGCACATCTTGAATTTGCCCGTCTGGTCCTCGTTCTTGCACACCAGTCCAAAGTGGACGTCGCACTGCACGACCTGCCCCACCTGCTGGATAGCAACGTCGGGGTAGTCCTCCGCCCGGCACTCGATCTGCTTTGGCTGCCGGCAGACCTGCTTGCCGGCGGCACGGATGTGCTGGTAGGTTTCGAAGTCTCCCTGGTTGGGCCCCGAGGAGGGGAAGTCGACGTCGAACCATTCGCTCCAGGTGCACACTTCGGGTTCACAGGGGGTGGTGGAGGAAGTTGTGGTAGAGGTCGTCGGCGTGGGGATGGTGGTGCTGGTGGAAGTGATGATTTCGGTGGAGGTGGGACTCGTGGTAGTGGAGATGTATGGCGTGGAGGTGGAGGTGGTGACTGTGGTGGTGGAGGACGGGATCGACGTGGTCGTGGTGCTGGTGGTGGGGCTGGTTGTAATCACAGGGATTACGGGGAGTGAGCAGTTGTAGTTGGGGGTGCAGCAGAGCACGCGGATCTTGTAGTTGAGGCACATCTTGAATTTGCCCGTCTGGTCCTCGTTCTTGCACACCAGTCCAAAGTGGACGTCGCACTGCACGACCTGCCCCACCTGCTGGATAGCAACGTCGGGGTAGTCCTCCGCCCGGCACTCGATCTGCTTTGGCTGCCGGCAGACCTGCTTGCCGGCGGCACGGATGTGCTGGTAGGTTTCGAAGTCTCCCTGGTTGGGCCCCGAGGAGGGGAAGTCGACGTCGAACCATTCGCTCCAGGTGCACACTTCGGGTTCACAGGGGGTGGTGGAGGAAGTTGTGGTAGAGGTCGTCGGCGTGGGGATGGTGGTGCTGGTGGAAGTGATGATTTCGGTGGAGGTGGGACTCGTGGTAGTGGAGATGTATGGCGTGGAGGTGGAGGTGGTGACTGTGGTGGTGGAGGACGGGATCGACGTGGTCGTGGTGCTGGTGGTGGGGCTGGTTGTAATCACAGGGACTGGGGGGAGTGAGCAGTTGTAGTTGGGGGTGCAGCAGAGCACGCGGATCTTGTAGTTGAGGCACATCTTGAATTTGCCCGTCTGGTCCTCGTTCTTGCACACCAGTCCAAAGTGGACGTCGCACTGCACGACCTGCCCCACCTGCTGGATAGCAACGTCGGGGTAGTCCTCCGCCCGGCACTCGATCTGCTTTGGCTGCCGGCAGACCTGCTTGCCGGCGGCACGGATGTGCTGGTAGGTTTCGAAGTCTCCCTGGTTGGGCCCCGAGGAGGGGAAGTCGACGTCGAACCATTCGCTCCAGGTGCACACTTCGGGTTCACAGGGGGTGGTGGAGGAAGTTGTGGTAGAGGTCGTCGGCGTGGGGATGGTGGTGCTGGTGGAAGTGATGATTTCGGTGGAGGTGGGACTCGTGGTAGTGGAGATGTATGGCGTGGAGGTGGAGGTGGTGACTGTGGTGGTGGAGGACGGGATCGACGTGGTCGTGGTGCTGGTGGTGGGGATGGTTGTAATCACAGGGATTACGGGGAGTGAGCAGTTGTAGTTGGGGGTGCAGCAGAGCACGCGGATCTTGTAGTTGAGGCACATCTTGAATTTGCCCGTCTGGTCCTCGTTCTTGCACACCAGTCCAAAGTGGACGTCGCACTGCACGACCTGCCCCACCTGCTGGATAGCAACGTCGGGGTAGTCCTCCGCCCGGCACTCGATCTGCTTTGGCTGCCGGCAGACCTGCTTGCCGGCGGCACGGATGTGCTGGTAGGTTTCGAAGTCTCCCTGGTTGGGCCCCGAGGAGGGGAAGTCGACGTCGAACCATTCGCTCCAGGTGCACACTTCGGGTTCACAGGGGGTGGTGGAGGAAGTTGTGGTAGAGGTCGTCGGCGTGGGGATGGTGGTGCTGGTGGAAGTGATGATTTCGGTGGAGGTGGGACTCGTGGTAGTGGAGATGTATGGCGTGGAGGTGGAGGTGGTGACTGTGGTGGTGGAGGACGGGATCGACGTGGTCGTGGTGCTGGTGGTGGGGATGGTTGTAATCACAGGGATTACGGGGAGTGAGCAGTTGTAGTTGGGGGTGCAGCAGAGCACGCGGATCTTGTAGTTGAGGCACATCTTGAATTTGCCCGTCTGGTCCTCGTTCTTGCACACCAGTCCAAAGTGGACGTCGCACTGCACGACCTGCCCCACCTGCTGGATAGCAACGTCGGGGTAGTCCTCCGCCCGGCACTCGATCTGCTTTGGCTGCCGGCAGACCTGCTTGCCGGCGGCACGGATGTGCTGGTAGGTTTCGAAGTCTCCCTGGTTGGGCCCCGAGGAGGGGAAGTCGACGTCGAACCATTCGCTCCAGGTGCACACTTCGGGTTCACAGGGGGTGGTGGAGGAAGTTGTGGTAGAGGTCGTCGGTGTGGGGATGGTGGTGCTGGTGGAAGTGATGATTTCGGTGGAGGTGGGACTCGTGGTAGTGGAGATGTATGGCGTGGAGGTGGAGGTGGTGACTGTGGTGGTGGAGGACGGGATCGACGTGGTCGTGGTGCTGGTGGTGGGGATGGTTGTAATCACAGGGATTACGGGGAGTGAGCAGTTGTAGTTGGGGGTGCAGCAGAGCACGCGGATCTTGTAGTTGAGGCACATCTTGAATTTGCCCGTCTGGTCCTCGTTCTTGCACACCAGTCCAAAGTGGACGTCGCACTGCACGACCTGCCCCACCTGCTGGATAGCAACGTCGGGGTAGTCCTCCGCCCGGCACTCGATCTGCTTTGGCTGCCGGCAGACCTGCTTGCCGGCGGCACGGATGTGCTGGTAGGTTTCGAAGTCTCCCTGGTTGGGCCCCGAGGAGGGGAAGTCGACGTCGAACCATTCGCTCCAGGTGCACACTTCGGGTTCACAGGGGGTGGTGGAGGAAGTTGTGGTAGAGGTCGTCGGCGTGGGGATGGTGGTGCTGGTGGAAGTGATGATTTCGGTGGAGGTGGGACTCGTGGTAGTGGAGATGTATGGCGTGGAGGTGGAGGTGGTGACTGTGGTGGTGGAGGACGGGATCGACGTGGTCGTGGTGCTGGTGGTGGGGCTGGTTGTAATCACAGGGACTGGGGGGAGTGAGCAGTTGTAGTTGGGGGTGCAGCAGAGCACGCGGATCTTGTAGTTGAGGCACATCTTGAATTTGCCCGTCTGGTCCTCGTTCTTGCACACCAGTCCAAAGTGGACGTCGCACTGCACGACCTGCCCCACCTGCTGGATAGCAACGTCGGGGTAGTCCTCCGCCCGGCACTCGATCTGCTTTGGCTGCCGGCAGACCTGCTTGCCGGCGGCACGGATGTGCTGGTAGGTTTCGAAGTCTCCCTGGTTGGGCCCCGAGGAGGGGAAGTCGACGTCGAACCATTCGCTCCAGGTGCACACTTCGGGTTCACAGGGGGTGGTGGAGGAAGTTGTGGTAGAGGTCGTCGGCGTGGGGATGGTGGTGCTGGTGGAAGTGATGATTTCGGTGGAGGTGGGACTCGTGGTAGTGGAGATGTATGGCGTGGAGGTGGAGGTGGTGACTGTGGTGGTGGAGGACGGGATCGACGTGGTCGTGGTGCTGGTGGTGGGGCTGGTTGTAATCACAGGGACTGGGGGGAGTGAGCAGTTGTAGTTGGGGGTGCAGCAGAGCACGCGGATCTTGTAGTTGAGGCACATCTTGAATTTGCCCGTCTGGTCCTCGTTCTTGCACACCAGTCCAAAGTGGACGTCGCACTGCACGACCTGCCCCACCTGCTGGATAGCAACGTCGGGGTAGTCCTCCGCCCGGCACTCGATCTGCTTTGGCTGCCGGCAGACCTGCTTGCCGGCGGCACGGATGTGCTGGTAGGTTTCGAAGTCTCCCTGGTTGGGCCCCGAGGAGGGGAAGTCGACGTCGAACCATTCGCTCCAGGTGCACACTTCGGGTTCACAGGGGGTGGTGGAGGAAGTTGTGGTAGAGGTCGTCGGCGTGGGGATGGTGGTGCTGGTGGAAGTGATGATTTCGGTGGAGGTGGGACTCGTGGTAGTGGAGATGTATGGCGTGGAGGTGGAGGTGGTGACTGTGGTGGTGGAGGACGGGATCGACGTGGTCGTGGTGCTGGTGGTGGGGCTGGTTGTAATCACAGGGACTGGGGGGAGTGAGCAGTTGTAGTTGGGGGTGCAGCAGAGCACGCGGATCTTGTAGTTGAGGCACATCTTGAATTTGCCCGTCTGGTCCTCGTTCTTGCACACCAGTCCAAAGTGGACGTCGCACTGCACGACCTGCCCCACCTGCTGGATAGCAACGTCGGGGTAGTCCTCCGCCCGGCACTCGATCTGCTTTGGCTGCCGGCAGACCTGCTTGCCGGCGGCACGGATGTGCTGGTAGGTTTCGAAGTCTCCCTGGTTGGGCCCCGAGGAGGGGAAGTCGACGTCGAACCATTCGCTCCAGGTGCACACTTCGGGTTCACAGGGGGTGGTGGAGGAAGTTGTGGTAGAGGTCGTCGGCGTGGGGATGGTGGTGCTGGTGGAAGTGATGATTTCGGTGGAGGTGGGACTCGTGGTAGTGGAGATGTATGGCGTGGAGGTGGAGGTGGTGACTGTGGTGGTGGAGGACGGGATCGACGTGGTCGTGGTGCTGGTGGTGGGGCTGGTTGTAATCACAGGGACTGGGGGGAGTGAGCAGTTGTAGTTGGGGGTGCAGCAGAGCACGCGGATCTTGTAGTTGAGGCACATCTTGAATTTGCCCGTCTGGTCCTCGTTCTTGCACACCAGTCCAAAGTGGACGTCGCACTGCACGACCTGCCCCACCTGCTGGATAGCAACGTCGGGGTAGTCCTCCGCCCGGCACTCGATCTGCTTTGGCTGCCGGCAGACCTGCTTGCCGGCGGCACGGATGTGCTGGTAGGTTTCGAAGTCTCCCTGGTTGGGCCCCGAGGAGGGGAAGTCGACGTCGAACCATTCGCTCCAGGTGCACACTTCGGGTTCACAGGGGGTGGTGGAGGAAGTTGTGGTAGAGGTCGTCGGCGTGGGGATGGTGGTGCTGGTGGAAGTGATGATTTCGGTGGAGGTGGGACTCGTGGTAGTGGAGATGTATGGCGTGGAGGTGGAGGTGGTGACTGTGGTGGTGGAGGACGGGATCGACGTGGTCGTGGTGCTGGTGGTGGGGATGGTTGTAATCACAGGGATTACGGGGAGTGAGCAGTTGTAGTTGGGGGTGCAGCAGAGCACGCGGATCTTGTAGTTGAGGCACATCTTGAATTTGCCCGTCTGGTCCTCGTTCTTGCACACCAGTCCAAAGTGGACGTCGCACTGCACGACCTGCCCCACCTGCTGGATAGCAACGTCGGGGTAGTCCTCCGCCCGGCACTCGATCTGCTTTGGCTGCCGGCAGACCTGCTTGCCGGCGGCACGGATGTGCTGGTAGGTTTCGAAGTCTCCCTGGTTGGGCCCCGAGGAGGGGAAGTCGACGTCGAACCATTCGCTCCAGGTGCACACTTCGGGTTCACAGGGGGTGGTGGAGGAAGTTGTGGTAGAGGTCGTCGGCGTGGGGATGGTGGTGCTGGTGGAAGTGATGATTTCGGTGGAGGTGGGACTCGTGGTAGTGGAGATGTATGGCGTGGAGGTGGAGGTGGTGACTGTGGTGGTGGAGGACGGGATCGACGTGGTCGTGGTGCTGGTGGTGGGGCTGGTTGTAATCACAGGGACTGGGGGGAGTGAGCAGTTGTAGTTGGGGGTGCAGCAGAGCACGCGGATCTTGTAGTTGAGGCACATCTTGAATTTGCCCGTCTGGTCCTCGTTCTTGCACACCAGTCCAAAGTGGACGTCGCACTGCACGACCTGCCCCACCTGCTGGATAGCAACGTCGGGGTAGTCCTCCGCCCGGCACTCGATCTGCTTTGGCTGCCGGCAGACCTGCTTGCCGGCGGCACGGATGTGCTGGTAGGTTTCGAAGTCTCCCTGGTTGGGCCCCGAGGAGGGGAAGTCGACGTCGAACCATTCGCTCCAGGTGCACACTTCGGGTTCACAGGGGGTGGTGGAGGAAGTTGTGGTAGAGGTCGTCGGCGTGGGGATGGTGGTGCTGGTGGAAGTGATGATTTCGGTGGAGGTGGGACTCGTGGTAGTGGAGATGTATGGCGTGGAGGTGGAGGTGGTGACTGTGGTGGTGGAGGACGGGATCGACGTGGTCGTGGTGCTGGTGGTGGGGCTGGTTGTAATCACAGGGACTGGGGGGAGTGAGCAGTTGTAGTTGGGGGTGCAGCAGAGCACGCGGATCTTGTAGTTGAGGCACATCTTGAATTTGCCCGTCTGGTCCTCGTTCTTGCACACCAGTCCAAAGTGGACGTCGCACTGCACGACCTGCCCCACCTGCTGGATAGCAACGTCGGGGTAGTCCTCCGCCCGGCACTCGATCTGCTTTGGCTGCCGGCAGACCTGCTTGCCGGCGGCACGGATGTGCTGGTAGGTTTCGAAGTCTCCCTGGTTGGGCCCCGAGGAGGGGAAGTCGACGTCGAACCATTCGCTCCAGGTGCACACTTCGGGTTCACAGGGGGTGGTGGAGGAAGTTGTGGTAGAGGTCGTCGGCGTGGGGATGGTGGTGCTGGTGGAAGTGATGATTTCGGTGGAGGTGGGACTCGTGGTAGTGGAGATGTATGGCGTGGAGGTGGAGGTGGTGACTGTGGTGGAGGACGGGATCGACGTGGTCGTGGTGCTGGTGGTGGGGCTGGTTGTAATCACAGGGACTGGGGGGAGTGAGCAGTTGTAGTTGGGGGTGCAGCAGAGCACGCGGATCTTGTAGTTGAGGCACATCTTGAATTTGCCCGTCTGGTCCTCGTTCTTGCACACCAGTCCAAAGTGGACGTCGCACTGCACGACCTGCCCCACCTGCTGGATAGCAACGTCGGGGTAGTCCTCCGCCCGGCACTCGATCTGCTTTGGCTGCCGGCAGACCTGCTTGCCGGCGGCACGGATGTGCTGGTAGGTTTCGAAGTCTCCCTGGTTGGGCCCCGAGGAGGGGAAGTCGACGTCGAACCATTCGCTCCAGGTGCACACTTCGGGTTCACAGGGGGTGGTGGAGGAAGTTGTGGTAGAGGTCGTCGGCGTGGGGATGGTGGTGCTGGTGGAAGTGATGATTTCGGTGGAGGTGGGACTCGTGGTAGTGGAGATGTATGGCGTGGAGGTGGAGGTGGTGACTGTGGTGGTGGAGGACGGGATCGACGTGGTCGTGGTGCTGGTGGTGGGGATGGTTGTAATCACAGGGATTACGGGGAGTGAGCAGTTGTAGTTGGGGGTGCAGCAGAGCACGCGGATCTTGTAGTTGAGGCACATCTTGAATTTGCCCGTCTGGTCCTCGTTCTTGCACACCAGTCCAAAGTGGACGTCGCACTGCACGACCTGCCCCACCTGCTGGATAGCAACGTCGGGGTAGTCCTCCGCCCGGCACTCGATCTGCTTTGGCTGCCGGCAGACCTGCTTGCCGGCGGCACGGATGTGCTGGTAGGTTTCGAAGTCTCCCTGGTTGGGCCCCGAGGAGGGGAAGTCGACGTCGAACCATTCGCTCCAGGTGCACACTTCGGGTTCACAGGGGGTGGTGGAGGAAGTTGTGGTAGAGGTCGTCGGCGTGGGGATGGTGGTGCTGGTGGAAGTGATGATTTCGGTGGAGGTGGGACTCGTGGTAGTGGAGATGTATGGCGTGGAGGTGGAGGTGGTGACTGTGGTGGTGGAGGACGGGATCGACGTGGTCGTGGTGCTGGTGGTGGGGCTGGTTGTAATCACAGGGACTGGGGGGAGTGAGCAGTTGTAGTTGGGGGTGCAGCAGAGCACGCGGATCTTGTAGTTGAGGCACATCTTGAATTTGCCCGTCTGGTCCTCGTTCTTGCACACCAGTCCAAAGTGGACGTCGCACTGCACGACCTGCCCCACCTGCTGGATAGCAACGTCGGGGTAGTCCTCCGCCCGGCACTCGATCTGCTTTGGCTGCCGGCAGACCTGCTTGCCGGCGGCACGGATGTGCTGGTAGGTTTCGAAGTCTCCCTGGTTGGGCCCCGAGGAGGGGAAGTCGACGTCGAACCATTCGCTCCAGGTGCACACTTCGGGTTCACAGGGGGTGGTGGAGGAAGTTGTGGTAGAGGTCGTCGGCGTGGGGATGGTGGTGCTGGTGGAAGTGATGATTTCGGTGGAGGTGGGACTCGTGGTAGTGGAGATGTATGGCGTGGAGGTGGAGGTGGTGACTGTGGTGGTGGAGGACGGGATCGACGTGGTCGTGGTGCTGGTGGTGGGGATGGTTGTAATCACAGGGATTACGGGGAGTGAGCAGTTGTAGTTGGGGGTGCAGCAGAGCACGCGGATCTTGTAGTTGAGGCACATCTTGAATTTGCCCGTCTGGTCCTCGTTCTTGCACACCAGTCCAAAGTGGACGTCGCACTGCACGACCTGCCCCACCTGCTGGATAGCAACGTCGGGGTAGTCCTCCGCCCGGCACTCGATCTGCTTTGGCTGCCGGCAGACCTGCTTGCCGGCGGCACGGATGTGCTGGTAGGTTTCGAAGTCTCCCTGGTTGGGCCCCGAGGAGGGGAAGTCGACGTCGAACCATTCGCTCCAGGTGCACACTTCGGGTTCACAGGGGGTGGTGGAGGAAGTTGTGGTAGAGGTCGTCGGCGTGGGGATGGTGGTGCTGGTGGAAGTGATGATTTCGGTGGAGGTGGGACTCGTGGTAGTGGAGATGTATGGCGTGGAGGTGGAGGTGGTGACTGTGGTGGTGGAGGACGGGATCGACGTGGTCGTGGTGCTGGTGGTGGGGCTGGTTGTAATCACAGGGACTGGGGGGAGTGAGCAGTTGTAGTTGGGGGTGCAGCAGAGCACGCGGATCTTGTAGTTGAGGCACATCTTGAATTTGCCCGTCTGGTCCTCGTTCTTGCACACCAGTCCAAAGTGGACGTCGCACTGCACGACCTGCCCCACCTGCTGGATAGCAACGTCGGGGTAGTCCTCCGCCCGGCACTCGATCTGCTTTGGCTGCCGGCAGACCTGCTTGCCGGCGGCACGGATGTGCTGGTAGGTTTCGAAGTCTCCCTGGTTGGGCCCCGAGGAGGGGAAGTCGACGTCGAACCATTCGCTCCAGGTGCACACTTCGGGTTCACAGGGGGTGGTGGAGGAAGTTGTGGTAGAGGTCGTCGGCGTGGGGATGGTGGTGCTGGTGGAAGTGATGATTTCGGTGGAGGTGGGACTCGTGGTAGTGGAGATGTATGGCGTGGAGGTGGAGGTGGTGACTGTGGTGGAGGACGGGATCGACGTGGTCGTGGTGCTGGTGGTGGGGCTGGTTGTAATCACAGGGACTGGGGGGAGTGAGCAGTTGTAGTTGGGGGTGCAGCAGAGCACGCGGATCTTGTAGTTGAGGCACATCTTGAATTTGCCCGTCTGGTCCTCGTTCTTGCACACCAGTCCAAAGTGGACGTCGCACTGCACGACCTGCCCCACCTGCTGGATAGCAACGTCGGGGTAGTCCTCCGCCCGGCACTCGATCTGCTTTGGCTGCCGGCAGACCTGCTTGCCGGCGGCACGGATGTGCTGGTAGGTTTCGAAGTCTCCCTGGTTGGGCCCCGAGGAGGGGAAGTCGACGTCGAACCATTCGCTCCAGGTGCACACTTCGGGTTCACAGGGGGTGGTGGAGGAAGTTGTGGTAGAGGTCGTCGGCGTGGGGATGGTGGTGCTGGTGGAAGTGATGATTTCGGTGGAGGTGGGACTCGTGGTAGTGGAGATGTATGGCGTGGAGGTGGAGGTGGTGACTGTGGTGGTGGAGGACGGGATCGACGTGGTCGTGGTGCTGGTGGTGGGGATGGTTGTAATCACAGGGATTACGGGGAGTGAGCAGTTGTAGTTGGGGGTGCAGCAGAGCACGCGGATCTTGTAGTTGAGGCACATCTTGAATTTGCCCGTCTGGTCCTCGTTCTTGCACACCAGTCCAAAGTGGACGTCGCACTGCACGACCTGCCCCACCTGCTGGATAGCAACGTCGGGGTAGTCCTCCGCCCGGCACTCGATCTGCTTTGGCTGCCGGCAGACCTGCTTGCCGGCGGCACGGATGTGCTGGTAGGTTTCGAAGTCTCCCTGGTTGGGCCCCGAGGAGGGGAAGTCGACGTCGAACCATTCGCTCCAGGTGCACACTTCGGGTTCACAGGGGGTTGTAGTTGAAGATGTTGTTGTAGTTGTGCTGCTTTGCACTGGTGGTGTTGTAGTTTGTTTCTGAGTTGTCGTCGTTGGTTTTGATGTTATTCTTGTGTGTATGTAGTCTGTTTTTGGTTCAACTGTGTATTCGGTTGTTGTCTTGTGTTTTGTTTGCAAACTTAGAGTTGTTGGTTCTGGTATAGACGTACTTGATGGCATTGTAGTTGGTTGTGTTGTTGGAGTCAGAATTTCAGGCGTTGTTTCACATGGCACTGGTATGTTCACACAGCACTTAAATCTTAATTCATAATTATAGCAGATTGGTGGCAGTTGATCTTTATTGTAACATTTCAACCCTTCTTCTGTGTTACATGTTATGTGTTGCTCTAGTAGAGGATATGGTGTATTCGGGAACCTTACTGCTCTACATTCCACATCCTTTCTATTGTTGCAGACTTTGTATCCGTTATTTTCAATGTTCTCAATCGTATCAAAATCTCCATCATCATAACCTGACCCTGGATAACTTACATCATACCAGCTTGACCAGTAACATTGTTCTTTGAAACAAAGAGGAATTGTTGAAGGAGATGTGGTGACAGGTGTTGTGGTTCTAGTTGTTTCTTCAGTAGGTGAAGGTACCAGTATACTTTCAGTAGTAATTGAATACATTGTTTCAGTAGATGTTTCTGTCAGAGTTGGCCTTGTGACTGGGGTTGATGTGCTGAAAGGTGTTGTGGAAGAGCATGGTACAAAAACACAGCAGAGGATTCTGATTTCGTAGTTGTTGCACATTGTTGAAATTTGATCCTTGTTGTAACATATAAGCCCTCGTGTTGTACTGCATTCTACTTTTTGGCCAAGGTCTTTCAGTGGTATATCAGGGAACTTTTCTGCTCTGCATTCAACAGCCTTTGGGGCTTCACAAACTTCATAACCTTTTGCTCGTAAATCATTGAAAGTTTCAAAATCTCCCCCATCATAGCCAGGGGTTTGTAGACTCCCGTCATACCATTCGGACCACTTACAGACTTCATGAACACATACTGATGTAGTTGGTGACACTGTGAAGGAGACAATGAAAAGGAAGAGACCATGAAATTAAGAATTAATTCCTGTGGATACTACTTTTTTTTGTTGTTAAATGTAAAATTTTGTAACTTTTTTCTTGTTTTAAATGGGCTGACAGTTTTCCTAATGTCATTTGTCTTGCATTATGCTCCTGTAGTGCATCAGTTTATTTTAGTATATTGTAGAACAGAAAATCCATCACCCAGCAATTTAATGTACTGACATGTTTCGAACTGTCACTTCCCAAGAGAATACTAATTATGTGTTACAAGGTGCTGAAATAAGGCTCAGGTATAATTTATACACTCTGGAAAAAGCCCAAGTCTCAATTGCTTTGCATTTGGTTCAGTGTATTTGCTTTGGTTCTATCTTGTTTCAGTATATACTAGTGTCTCTGAAATGTATTGAAATCAGTGGAAAGAGTAACTTTTATAGTATGCATCAAGATCCATTGCTACTTTTTTCTTCCACATCTTGGCTCCTCACTCAGTGCAGAGCAGTCTTTGAAATAGAGGAACAAACATTTCTACACTGTATTTTAGCTCTGATCTGAAGAAACCATTTATTGGTTGGAGAGGTTTTGCAGGTGAACTCCATTATGAAATAGATGGAAAATAGCTACTGAATTCCAGCAATGCTGGTATTTTCTGTAATTTCAAAACTTATATATATTTTATTGAATACTGATTTCTTAAAACAACATATGCCCAGAGTAATTTGAGATTCCCAACCTGAAGAATGCTGTACAGGAATTCTATAAACCAAAATTTCATTATCTCAATGCCAATATCTGAGCAATCCACTTAATACTGTAAAATATATTTTTCTCACTAAACAAGAGAATACAATCTTAGTGGCTACAAAGGACGTACCTGTGGAAGTAGTGGTAGGTGGTGTAGACGTGAAGTGAAATGTTGTTGCTGTTGTGGGTGACGTTGATGTTAGACAATCATACATAAACCTTTGAAGTGTTCCATTGGGACCACAGGTTGCAACAATACACCATCCTGTGCCGTCTGTAGTGTTGTAGACCACATCTTTGTAGTTGTACTTCTGCCCCTCATAAATGCAGACACATTCTGTAGATTAAAACAGGATGTTATTCCTTGCTACCTGAAACAGAGAGTACCCTAAATGTGTCTTATTCATATCAAAATGACTTCATCAACATACCATGTTCATCATATCTGCATATTTTGCCATGAATTGTACATTCGCTGAAAAAGAGAAAAACAGATTATGAGTGTGGACATACTGGTTCATGACATAATTTATTTGTTATAATTTTTCTTCTATCAATCCTTTGCTATTCATTGTGTGTTTAAATGTACAATGATCTTATCTTGTGTGAGTTAGACAGTCAGTTTTGCTATACAAATTCAGGCTTGGTACTTATATTCAGGCTACAAGTTCTCTGGCAAGAAAGGTAGCTCTTCTTTGAGCCAGCATATAGAACATGCAGCATCTCTACCAGTGCTTTTGGGAACAGGACAAAAGATGTGAGATGGATGATTTGAAATCTTATCTCCCCAATAGGTCTGGTTTTTGGAGGAGAAAACCACAGTGAATGTATCATTTGCATTTAAAAGGATATATACAAAGGATTACTACCATGGATGTTGAGATAACCCACACAGTGCATTACCATTAGGCTTCCAAAATATGCAAGAAGAATTCTGGTTTTAAGGGCAATTTACCTGTGAAGAACTGAATCTTGATGTATTTATTTACAGGGACTAAGGACATCTATACAATGAATAAACTGAAATTAAGACATGTATTTAATGGATTAGGTTTAGTGCTGTTAATGGCCTAGATTATATAGTCCAAGGCATCTATGAAGTGCAAAATCTGCCAAGGATGTTGGTTTAGCTCCAATGGGCTTTGGCTTAGGATTTTTGCTATTCAGATTGCTTACAATATTTAAGTGTAGCTACTTTAAAGGTATCTTAAGACAGCTGCTTCACAATTGGATTTGCTAACTCTGTACTTAAGCCTTACAGAAGGCTTAGCAGCACTTGTCACCGGTAATGCGTGAGAATACGTGCTGACTGTTGCAACTATGCAGGTATCAGTGCAATAACAGAAACAAGCTCAAAACAATGTAGATTAGTTGGCTGCTCACTTCTAACGAATTTCATTTCACATAATGAGTTTAGGTATCTACTTTTAAAAATTCTCAGACTATTCCCTAACTAAAATTATTTTAGCTTGTTTTCACTTCATTTAATAATGATAATAACTTTAAAGGACTTTGATAGATATACAAAATAAATAGTAAATTAATATCTTGATGATAAAATGTTTCACTAATGTTATCATTTAATTTCCTGGGAAGGGAAGAAAATTAGACATTGTTCATCAGCCTCTGACTGGCCTAGTTGCTGTCGGTAATTAACAAATTTAACATGATGAATTATGTTCCACAATTTTAAACTCTATTTTTAAAATTCTTTTCTAATCCTACCATGATTCACAATTCTGCTTTGAAGGCATCTCCATTCCTGGTTTGTAATTTTTTCCATCTTCATAACAACCACAATAAGAAACACAGGTCATGGTTTCCTCATCAAAATAGGGCTTATTCTTTGGACATTGTGGATAGCAACCTGCAATAAAAAGAGAGTCAAACTTACAGTAGGCCTTTCATAAGTATAAATAAGTCTACACTCATATCTGATTTTCCCAAAATGTGCTACATGGTAAGTGGAATGTCAGATCCTTTTACTGCTATTCCTTTGATAGCACATTATGCTTTGGAGTATTTTGTCCTCATCTTCATTCCAAACAAGTACATAATCCATTAGAGAATACAATACTAATTAGAAAATCTCTTCTTATAATTTGTAGTGCAAACATGTCATACACTGAGTAATACAAATTTTGTTCACCATACTGCATTTTAACCTTTCAAGTAGAATGAGATATACATAATTATGTCTACCTTCCAAACCCCTCATCTCATGAAGGCATTTCCCACTTGGATTATTGCAGGTCTTCATACAAGGTGCTCCACATGGCTTGTAGTGCCACTCACATTCCCCTTGTGGATTATAGTAATCACAGAAGAGAGCTAGAAGAAGAAATGCCAGAAAAAAAAATCTGTGATGTTTTAGCTCTATACTGTTTCCATTTTGCTAGGTAAAAATCCAATGGGATCAGCATAGCCTCATAGGTTGTGAACAATATCTCATTTTATTGCTAATACAATACAATTGTTAAATTTCTAAAATGTTTTAACACCAATAAATATATTCATCATAGAACAGAGTTACACATTAAACATGAAAAATCAGTTGACTGAATCACTGATCTTAGCTAGCATACACTAGTTTTTATTTACAAGGAACCTGATGTAGACGTATGGCAGTGTAATAAAATATCATATTTCACCAGTAGTATATCGTGATTGTCAAGTTAATTAGACACTAATCACAGTGCTTGTAAAATTATTAGCTGTGGTTTCATTTTACCAAGATAGTTGGGTAAATCAGTAGAAGACAATCTGCTTTGCTGGGTTTTTTTTGGGTGTTTTTTTTTTTTTTTAAGCATACAGCCGTGTCTCTTAGAAATACAATTTTATCCTTCCTTTCTTGTTCTACTTTGTTTCCTTTTTTCCCCCCTTCTGTTTTATTTCTCTCTGAACCCCTTAAAGTAGTGGGTTGAAACTCACGACAAATGGATGGGGTTCTCCATGATATGCAGATGTCTAGCTCATTACATGCTTGAGCATAGGCAGCTACTGCTGTGCAGAAACATTCACAGTCTCCTCCAGTGTCACAGGCACAAGCATCATCCACACATGCTTGGTAATATTCATTTGGTTCAACCTGATAGAGAAAACATTCAAGTTTTCATACCCTTGTCCTCTTTGCACTGTCCTAAAATAGCTGAATAAGATATCTGAAACTCATAGGTCTATATGAGAGAAAGCTAAGAAACGAAGAAATAATGAGAATGCTTTGAGAAATCAAGAGGAAAATGTAGAATAAAGCTATTGCTAGTAAGCTGCAATATTAAAAACTGTTTGGTCTTGAGGACATTTGCAAAATACTGGTAATTACTATAAGCTACTAGAGTCATACATATTAGGTGGCTGATATTTGTATTAGTAGGAAATTATGCTGTTAGCAAATAAACAGATCTTGAGATTTATCTACTCTTGCTCCTTCAATTAAAACAAACAAGCTAACCAACCAAAACAATAAATTTCTTTAGTGTACTTGCTCAAGACAAAAGCTGAGAAAATAAAAGTGAAAGTATTTCTATGCAGGAACTTGGTCGAGCTTCACTTTGTCAAGCATGACAGAATGTACTTTAGAGTATTTTTTAATCTATTCCACATAAAAATGGATGTAATCATTTTGTCAAGAATTCAAGACTAAATTTTTTGTCATACCTGTGAGTGACACTTTGCAAACACTTCACTGGTGATGATGCTGCATTGCTTCTGTGCCCAGGCTTTCCTGTATGGGTTTGCAGTGCATGGATCCTGCGTACGATTGGCATTTGGGCAGCTAGAAGATACTTTCCAGCTATTGGCAAACTCCAGCACATTTCCTACCACAGACTGACTGCGAGTAGTGAAGTCATTATTTCCATTGCCATCATAGTTTCCACAAAGTCCGCAGACATGGCCCTGCATCAGGATAAACAAACAAAATGACAAAGATCAGTAAGGTACAATTTCTTAGTATCTGTGAGTAACAGACCTCAAGACAACTCTTATGTAACCATCTTATATAAGATTATTAATGCCTATTTAGTAACAGTGCTGGACATTTTCATAAAACACTTTTCAGGAAGAGATGTCTCTAGCTAGTTGTTAGAAAGAAGTAGACTGATGGTTTTGTTCTAAGTACTGAGCTATTTAGTTTTAGCGGATCCTAAATATGTCTCTTCAGTGAGGGTTTTCCATGAAGAAAGCTACTGATAAAGTTGCTCTTATGCCATTGCTGAATAATGCAATTTAAGGATAATGCATAGTACACAATTTAAATCAACACAAGAAGGATAATAATATATGATTTCTGCTCTTCTGGTTTACAGCCTGAATTTCCACCCTCTTTCTTTGAGAGATAATATGACTATGTTACAGAAGTCATTTTATTAATGTTTTCACTTTTAAAGTATACCTGAAAGCTTGGACTAAGTTTGATGAATATACTGGTTTTCTTGTCCCACATGAGTATCAGACCAACAGTAGTATCAACCACCAGGTAGATGCCCATGGAACGGACTTGGAATGGCATTTTTCCTCCAGGTGTCCTCTGGATGACATCAGAGTGTCCATCACTGAGTACCAGCTCATAGTTCTAAGACAGGAGAAGAAAAAGTTAGAGGCCAATTTAAAAAGTCACTATTTTGTAGCTGTATATATTGACAGTAACTTCTTGAAATAATATCATCAAGAGGATCCTATTCAACAACCTCAGGTTAAGAAATTTCTTTGTAGCTTTCCCACCTTTGCTTTCTAGAGCAGAGAGCAAAAAAAGGGTCTAGTGATATTTTCATTATGTTGGAGGCCACTTCTCCTATGCAGTCTATCTGGGACAGATCCTTCTGGCACAACTAAAAGAAAATACTTACACCCAGGAAAACTTTAATAGACTTAGAGCAGGTAGTTCCTGTAGTGCCACATGGAATGTTCTCAGTGATGACTCTGAAGGTTCCCTGGTTCATAGCTTGTTGACCACAGTAGTTCTGAAACAGGAGAATGATATTTTTTTTACTATATTGAAGGTATTTAGAGCAAAAGTATTTAGAGCAAAAATCTAGGCAAGACTCTGTTACCTGGACCAGAACATATTCACAGTCTCCTTCAAAATCAAAGCGTTTGCCATCAAAGGTGGTATAATGCCCATCTCCATAAACAGAACATGTTTCCAGGCAGGGTTCCTCAGAGCATTGCCATTTTCTGTTTCTACATGTGCTAAACAAGACAAAAAGCACTCCAAATGTAAAAACTAGACAATTACACAATATAAATATAGGTACATTTCTGTATTTTAATGTGTGTTAAGATTCTAATGAAAAAATGAGGTTTGCTTGTTCTCAAAAATGCAACATAGCTCAAGAACTATTGGAATTTATGCAAAGACCGTGTTACTTAATGTAATGAATCAACTGCATCAGAAGACACCAATTCTTTCACATTTCCAGATCCTGTTGGATCTATTGAAATGGAAGGATTTCCTTGGAAGAAAGAAGATTTTTTGACCTGAATGAACATGACAACATCAAAACCATGGTGTTTTTCTGACAACTTGCAATTTCTGAGCTGTGCCATTGAGAAAAATAGACAGAGCTTACTTTTTAGGCACTAAGTGCATTGTTTTCTGCAGGATTCCTTCCTAGGAATCTTGATACTGCTAGAGTGAAATGATGTTATTTGCTTAGATCTTAAGCTGTTCTATTTTTTTATTTCCAAAATATTATTTTTCAATATGCTCTTACCAGTTGTTACAGCCAACTCTGATTGATTCTCCTGGACTGTAGGAATTCCCGTTGTGAATACATGGACAGTCTTCTGGAGCAATGCAGCCACCTTTGCCATCCAACACTTGATCATGAGGACATACGCAGCCAGAGACACAGTGAGTTTTGTACTGTAAGGACCATAAAGAAAACATGTCTTGAAACATTCCCCTGGTGAAAGAGTCCAGCTGTAGCTGGTAATTGTAAGAGATATCTTGATTAATATATTTTCAACTAGGTACAAAGAGTCTGTACTTACACATTCCATATCTAGAGTCTGACAACTCTTCTGGCATCCTGCTCCTACCACATTTGCAGTGACATTGCCACAGTCAACATAAACCATGGGAGGTACACAGACTGAAAGAGAGGAAAAGCCATGAGAAATGTGAAACCAACCATGCATTTGTATCTTTGTGTTTCCAAGAAAAAATGGAAATACTCCTTTGTGAATTATGTGTATCTTAATGTGATGCATGTAGTGAGAGAGAAACCAAATATTGTTTTGATCTCATATTCACGTGGTTTTTGTGATTATGCTTGGACTACTCAATAAAATGAATTTTTATTTAGCTTCATGAAACATTTCCTTTCAGAAAAACAGAACACGGCAGGATAACAAATATCCTTGTTTACTTGTTTGGGCTTTTTTTTTTTTGGTTGCTTTGGGGTTTTTTGCTTTTACATTTTAATTAAAATGAGAATAGTTTTCCTCTCACACTGAGTGAGGTGACTAAGTATCCTTTTACCCTGGTAACCCAGGGGGTTCTAACTTGTTTCAGCCACCTGAAAGGTAAGACAGTGTTTCTTTATATTTTGAGAATGTCCTCTACATTACAGAATACCTCAGTTAATTTTCTTGGTTGATTTCAGACTTGTACAACTTGCATCACTATGAGGAGAATAAAGAAATTAAAAGAGTGATGGTAGAAAGGGAGAGTTAAAGAAAATCTTAAGTGATATGTTACCTGGTTCAGGCTTCTCTCCAATGCAGCTCAGCTTTCCATAGGCACAAGTGCTATAAAAAGAAGGGAATGGATATTTTAAATTTTTTCTTGTTAAGTTTCAGCCTATTTCCCAATGAACTTGAAATACTGGAAAATTACTGTGTGATAAAACAAATAAAATGTGTCCTTTATAAATAGTTTGCACATTTAAAAATATTAATATTCTATATTAGAGTAGAACAAAATACAAGTAGATTCCATATAATTAAATGTTTTCTCTGTCTATATGCCTGGTTTAAAGCTGTCCTTCAGAATAGTTCAGATTTCCATATAATGGGAATAATCTGTAACAGGATTATCAGGCATCTTTCACCATGGAACAAGCCTTTTCCAGTCATGGGTAAGAAAAGTATGTGTGGAGGCAAGAGAGGAAGGGAGGCAGAGAGAAAGGGACAAGATGCGAATTTGGCTGTTAGGAAAGGCTGACCCACCACAGGACTGTTGGTTGAATTCCTATAGTTATTTACTTACAATCTTCCAAACGTGGGTAGCCCTAAGAATTTAGGAAGCTGTGATTTTTTAATTGAAAATTTTTGTTATAGAAATCATTTTGATTTGATTTCATGACATTTATATAGTTTCATGACTGCCTATATCCAATTCTTGACTTTTTTTTTTTACAAATCTCTTACCAGACAACACCATTATCATGAACAACTTCTCCAGAAGACAGAGGCGTTCCTTTGTAGTAACAAGGACAGCTAGAAGCAGGCACACATTTGCCACTGTCATCCATGTAGGTTCCATTTATGCAGGTACAGCCATCAACTGGGACAAACTTGATGCTGCATGTGACATCAGGCTCACTGAGAGCGCGGCAGGTGGGCTGACAGGAATTGACACTGTAGGTGTACTTCAAGGACTTCGGACACAAGGTGGTGTATTTTGCTTGAGAGCAAGAAGGTGAGTCACATTTGTTGTTCATTCAAGAATCAACATAGGTATAAAGTATTTGAGATAAAGTATGTATGATAAACGTGGCATTTTATGTACACATACTTTACTGATGTCCTCAGTAGTGTAATTTTTTGTAGTACTAGAGCAAAATTTTCCCTTATAAATGCGTCATACGTTTACCCATGTTAAAAAGAAAAGAACAAAGTTTGATTATATTATGACACAGTATGTTTCTTCCTGTATGTTTTTATACGTTTGTCAAAATAAGTTGAGAAACACCCTACTTATTTTATTCCTATTGCAAAGGTATTGCTCTTCAGGTTTTTTCTGATGGTTCTGAGCAAGTAATCTAACAAAGCCTGTTTTTAACATTTCTCCTTGTTTGCTGTCTTTTATAGCATCCTTTCCTACTCAGCTTCTTGAAAGTCAATGCTACACTTAAACCCCAGTTTAACACAATTTACTGTGGAATCCCTGAGAGCTCCTGTGTGGGGCCTTCTGGGGTGATCATTTTCAAAAGGCAAAGGGATGTAAAACTTACTGCAGGCTTTGCTCCTCCATCCAGTGAGAAGAACTCCTTTAGCAGCACAGGCTCTGACATAGCTGGAAAGGGCAGCACACATGCAGTCCTCACTCTTCTCACAGTTACACGTGTCAAACATACAGGTCTAGGAATAGAGGATGATGTGATCACCAGAATGTCATGTCAAAACCATGGAACTCTGCAGTTTTTTAAGTGTGTTATGTTCATTAGAGGTTAAAGAGAGTGTAATTCACATGTATAAGCCTGATTTTCATTGAGCTCTTTCAAAAGAGATTATTTATGTGAAAAAAGAGTAATTAGAGGTCCACTATTTTGAGCTATTTTTTCTTTTTATTTTTTCACATGTTGGCAGTTTTCCAACTACTTCAAATTTGTTGCCATTCTGCCATATATATTTAGAATAAATAGAGATTATTTGATGCCACCCAGCTTTTGGAGCTTTTGCCTAGGAGCCTGGGCTCTCCGCAGCAGAGGAACAAAGAATACAAGTTATTTGATGGGTTTCTATGCTGAGCAGGGATAATACAATATTATTAATTCCAGATTATGTTTATTGAGCATAATCTTACAAATTTCCAATAACAGGAAGGTTTTTTAAAGTACCCAGGGACTCTGGTACAGGGTTTCATCACCTTGAATTCCTAGAACATTTTCATTCACATCTTGTCTAATTCTCATTGTTGCTTTTTATGCACATTGCTTGCCTTGTCCTTGCATATATGCAAAAGCCTTCTGAGAGCAGTTCAGAGAAATTAAAGTGCCAGTTAAGATTCTGGCTAAAGCTTGCATTATATCTCTCAGAAGAGACAATTTTTATCCTTTGATAGCAAATCCAAACTCCTAACTTAGTCTTTAAATTTATGCCTAAAAATAGGTGCAGGAGGAATACACCTGTATGCTTATCCTCCAGGGAATAGAAAGACAGTTTCACAAAGGAGGACATTTCATATTGTATAGATAAGAATGAACCCTTGGCTTTTAAAGAACTATGAATTCATCCCCTCACAACAGGCAAGTTACTCTCTCAGGTGTTAGTATCAGAAATCTGAGTCTTTTTCTCCTGTATTGGATGGATTGAGTTAGAGCCAAATACCTTATGGTAAACTTCTGGATTCACTGTTGAGTGACATTCAGCAAAAGGTCCCGTGGTGTCAGAGAGCAGTCCACACCAGTGCTGAGCATACTGGTCTGTGAATTGAAAACATGGTAAGGATTCCTGTGGCAGTGCATTTGCAAAACTCTTGTCTCAACATAACTATACCTCCTCCAGAGAAATCACAGAAGCTTAACATTACAATATAATTAAGCTCTGAATTAGCTGAGGCACACAGTCTTTCACTTCCTCTAGGTAGAAGTATGAACTCTTCATAAACTGAATGTTTTCTAATTCATGATAATTGTCATGGAATAGACTAAAGATACCCCTAGCTGAATTTTAAAAAGGAAGGTTCACACTGTAAATTAAAACTATGCTAGTTCATCTCAGAAAACAGAAAAGTAGCTGGTGAATACTCAAGAATTATGTATTTTGTTGGCTGAAGTGCAGCTTGAATGCTTTCAGTCTCTGAACTGTAAGCCCTTAGTTTAACAGTGGAAGTACTACAACCTTCAGAGGGGCCAGGCACAGCTGTGACAAAAGTCATTTCCAGGAATGAATCCTAATATGCTGTATGGTTCTAGTTTCCCTTAGGTAAGTTTACTTGCTGTCTTGATCCAAAGGAATATATCTGAAGATCCAAAATATTTCACTAGTTATTAATTAATGGAAGACGTCTAGTATCAACTGAGGAAAATTGTGTGCATGTGCAAATAGTTCTGTTATTTTGGCTAAATGCTTGGTGGTTGATCAGCTTATTCCATCTTTGCATTTTAAAGGAGAATAGAAGAGATTGCTGAGCTTACCATTTTGTATGCTGACAGTACAGGGGTCCTCAAAGGTATTTTTGGCATCAGGACAATCAGCCCGAGTTTTCCAAGTATTGCCAAAGGCAGCTGAAGTGCCCTCTATCACACCACTGGTGGTTTTGAAATCATCTGTCTGTACGTCATTGAAGTTTCCACAGAGACCTGGAAGGAAGCAGATGGTCTGTGCAAGTCTCCTACAGGATGACAGGTGCTGGTGAAGGCACTTGTTAGGACAAGGTCACTCACCACAGGTCTGCCCTTTATGTGATGGGTCCAAGTCTATAAAAACTTGCATTAAAGGCACAAGTTGAACCTGTAGCTGAAGACCAAAAGTTGTTTGCAGGATTATGAAGAAAGATGAAGGCCTGAAGATGGTGACATTTGCTAGGGATATAAGGAAAAAAAATAGTTATAATTTCATTCGAGATGAGCAGTTGAAAATAATTGTTCATTACAGGAACAATCTAATAGAGGAATTCTACAGCTGTGTTTGATATGATCCTAGCTTCTGAAGAACTGGGGGGAAAAGGATCCTTACAGGATTTCAAATCCAGCACCAAAACAGTCTAACCTAAACACCTAAGCAACAAATGTATACAAAACCTCCACTTTCTGTCAGGTGTTTTAAAATGAGGGAAGAACACACACTTCTGTTGTTATTTTAAAAGTTGCCTTCGCTATAGCACTCCTTATTTGAAGAGTCCAGTGGAGTCTGGACCTATTCTGTCCATTCATGGGTTGATTTGTGTTCAGGTGCAGTAGTGTTTGAGAAGAGCCGGCATGTGAGAAACTTCAGTGATGAATGTGCTTTCAGAACAAGGACAGGGGGAACACAGAACTAATGACTTGAGAAATTGGAGTCCAGTTGCATATCAGAATTTTTCTTTCTTCTCTTATGACAATGTTTGGATCTGAAAGTGTGCAATAACACAATTTGCTTGAACTAATTAGATGTTGCTAAATATAAACCATGATCTTACTGAAGTTATTAGTGTTGAATAGGCAAATCCTATTACATAAAAATGGGAGATAGTGCTCTATGGCAGTGCTCTGGGTTTGCTGCAGTGTAACCATAGGTAGAATTTATTTTTAGTTTAACTCATGTAATAACATTTTAAAATAAAAATGAGAAATAGAAGTTTTTCAAAGGAACTTACCTGCTGAGAATGGTAACTGTGTGTAGATCATATTCACAAATACACTCCCAGAAGGCTGGATCACAATGTTCTGTCCACAAGAAAAGACAATTATTATCAAGCAGATAAGTTAAATACTTTCCAAATGTTTCCTATCCAATACTACTCAAGATAAAGGGAAAAAAATGGAGCAGGACTATGATGACGTTCTGATTCCTGTACTATTTCTGTAATCTTTATTGCTGTGTTCCACTGACTGTCCAAGAGAGCAAAAACCAGAATTTATCTAAATAACAGAAAGCTAATAAGATCTTCTCTTCTAATGTGCTTACTTTACTACAAGAAAAATTAAGAATAATGTTCAAATTTGATAAAACAAAAAGGCAGCGCAAATTTCTTGTCTGTGCTGTTAGGTGTCATTTGCCTTGTCTGTTAATCTTAGAGAACATCCCTGTAGGATGTCAGGTGTGTACATCTGCTGCTCACCGTTTGTCCTCCGTTTAGGCTGATGGCTACACCCTTGAGGCATGTCTCTGTGTCAGTCAGGCCACACTTGTGGATGTCCCCCAACACTGTGAATTCATTGCTGTCACAGAGCTTGAGAAGAAAACCAAAGATATTGTTAAAAGGATTTGCTATATTGAAATAGTTATATAAAAAAAAAATTCACATGCAAATGAAATTCTTAGTAAATCTAGTCTTTCAAAAATATTGTTTATTTCATTTCTTCTTGCACCTATGGTCTAACATTTGTCTGGAATCACCAAGTAAGTTGGCATTCATGCAGTCTGCACACTGGAAGCTGTGGAATTGCTTCTGGCTTTTAGGGGTGAGTTAGACATATTAATCTGAACATGAAAATTTCCTCATGCATTAGCAAGACGAGTTCCTAATGTGTAGGCAATACCTGTTTAGTATGCTAGAGCAGAAGGAGGTGTGCCTTTCTTGCCCACTGCTTATGAGGTTTACCAGGGGGACAAAAGATTGTTTCCAATGTCTTCTGCACTGAATAGATTATTCAAGACCCTGGTGATTTGGACATTCTTTAAATATCCTCTCATAGAAAATGAAACTAAAATTATTATTCAGGAAGTTAATGCATAAAGCTTCAGATTTCTACTCAGTTCTGATTTTTGTAGGACTGTGTTCATCTTTAAAGTGTGCCTAATGGCCAAAACACAACAGGGAAAGACTCAGAGAAGGCTGTGATTCTGAATTTGTCTTATCACTTTTTTGGCATATTGAAGATTGAGGACAGCTGAGATGCATAATTATAGCAATCTAGAAATGCAGTATTACATTTTGGGGCTTTTTATACAAATTAGGGGTTTTCCTCTGCCTCCAGAGACCCTGAGAATCTAATTTTACATGTTGGCGCCAAAAGGAGGAGTTTGATGTGTAAGTCTGACCTATGCTGCCATTGTGCATCAAGGCAGTGCTTGTGAATCTTATCCAAAAGTTTCAATGATTTAAATCATTGAAATTTTTGGATAAGATTTCTAAATCATCTAATTCCAGCTCATTTCTAAGATTTTATGATTCTTTTGCTTGGTAACATTCAGATTGATCATGTCGATAACAGATTTTATTTAATATGAAGTCCTTATGAAAATAGTTTAGTCATTCAGTAAAAATAAACAATGAATACACCTAGGGTTATGAAATCTAATAAAAACTCAGTGCAAATCCTAAAAAATTATCAAAACCCACAAAAATACTACAATATTATTTAGCATAACCCTAACAGAAAAGCCCCTGAAATCCATTTAAGGGTGTTAACCCTATAACCATTGTTAACCCTCAATGACTCAGAAAACTGATGTGATTGCTAGAAGTTTTCATCAAAAAACATTATATGCAATAAAAACATTTTCCTTTAGCAAGGATTGTGACTCATTTTTACCTTGGTTAGGACATAACTACAGTCTCCAAAGAAGGAATAGTATTTCTCATCAAATGTTGAAATGTGGGAACCTCCTTCAATACTGCAAGTCCCAGGACACGACTGAGTGACACAAGACCATTCACCTCCAACACAGGTACTGAAATGAAGGAAGCATTCAGTAAAATCAGAGTAATGCAAGTGCAAACAAAATAAAAAGGCAATAAGTGCAGATGATATCCTAGTTTTCCTCTTGAAACACTGATCGCACTGTCAAAGAAAGCAGTATTGCTTAGAAATCTCAGACAAATATGGGGCAGGCACATTGATGTCAAGGTGATAACTTTCTATATACATGGTTGTTCATTTCCAATCTTTGGACAGAATTCAGTCCTGGTGAACTTGTAATCCATGTCAAATATTTTAAGTATTTATTGGAAAATAAATAAATAGGCAGGTGCAGTTGCATACACTTATGCAGTAATACTTCAGTAATTATAGGGATAATAAAAATATATATATTTGTCAAACATGCCCCTCAAATGTGAACTCCCACACTAAATGCAACATGCCCCCAAATGTCATGATCTCCATAATATTTATATGAGCACCTTTGCATTACACTGTAGGGCTGCAAAGGTATAGCACTAATTCACATTTTTAAACACCTCTGGTACTTGCCTTTGATTATCTCCCTTCATTGGTATTTCTTGAAATTGAACAGCTGTTCAAAAACTCAAATTTTTGTTCCAAGTGTGAAGGGAAAACAGACATGAAAGGAACCTCTAAAGCAGTGTAATTATGGAACTTCAATTGGTAAGTAGTTGCTCATTTGTTTTTTATGGGGAAACCAGTAAATATTCAGCTCATGCACAAAAAAAAACCCAATTCAAAACCAAAAAAAAAAAAAAAAAAAAAAACCAAATAAACAAAGTGAGAAAATATTACCATGATCTGCATTTAGATGAGAAGGAGGCACCGGGAGCATAAGTTTCACCTTCATAGGTACAGTGGCATTCTCTGCGGGGAATGCAGCCAGCACCATTAACATCATCAAATACCATTCCTAGGGAAAGAAAGGGTCTGTTATTCATTCTGTGCACTGCAGAACTTGCCTTTGAACACATATCTAACAGATGCCTGAGACTATGTACTGTTTCTGCTGTGCTTTAAAATAATAGAATGCAAGCTATGTGGAGATTGAAGGGCTATATTCCATTGAAATCTATCTAAAAATCTTAGTGTGATCAAAAGGGACCTCTAGGAAAATACCTTTCTGTTATGGATTTCATTAGAATGGAATTAGGATTAAAACTATTAGGTAATGAGCTGAAATAGATGAATCATTTATAAGACTGCCCAGGGACATATCTGTACAGTTAATATTTCTATGCCCAGAGACAGAGGATTGCCTTAGAGAAGTCAATGCTACTACACAAACAAGTGATGGTGAATTCTGTGAGACATCATGGGGATGGGCAGAACAGCTGCAAGGGGTGAAGCTCCTGTGATATACAGTCACAACAGCAACAAAAATTTAGACACAGAAGTATGCACAAAGAATACATCTGTCTTGTACTGATATGCAGTTCTTGTGTATAATTCTCTGAAGGACCAGATCTAACACACTGCCTAGTGCTTTGTCAACTCCTTGTTGTTTAAACACATAACACTTGACAAGAAGGATTTGGTCATTTGTGGAACCAGATGTAGCTTTGCTAGCAGCAGGAGTTATGATTGCATGCAAAATCTGCTTAAACATTTTATACTTCCTGTGAACTGAGTTTGAATGCTGAGAATAGAAGACTCTGCTGTTGTTAGGAAAAAATTATCTTATTCTAAGTTCAGTGATTTTATATATATACATTAAAAAGTATATATATAAGGAACATTTGTTCTTTAAAAGGCCATATTTAGTAATTTGAATAGAAATAGTGCATCCAGGGGAGAAATGTAGCAATTACTTCCATGATAATCACGCTGATGATGTGATGGGAATGATCCAGAGTAAGAAAGTTATTAAATGTGTACAGGTGAGTACTCTAGGGTGGTTGGTATGAGAAAAGAGCAGGAAATGAGCTTGCCTGGAGGACAGACACAGCCATCTGTACAGTGATCTTCACAAAGCGCAGATCGTTCCGGGTTGCTGCACGTATCGGAGCAGGGAGAGCCACACTCATGGTATTGCATGTTGAATGGACATGATTTGGCTAAAAGTAAAAAGAGTATTATAAAGCTGACTTTTCATTTAAAAGCTGGAGAAAACTTTCTTTTTTTTGCAATTTAGGTTGTTTTCTGTCAAGCTATGACAGGGTATCCTGATCCAAGCAGAGGCTGAAACATTTTAGATTTTCTGACTCATATTGAAAACCCCCTAAACTTCCATATTCCAAAGTCTTGTGTGTGACCAGGTAAAAACTGATTTCATTATAATTGCATGCAATTTTAAACTGTCTTCTTCAGGAAAAAAACCTCACATATGTGAAGTTTGCTAGATGTGTAAGCACAGGTGGAGGTCCCTTCCCGAGATACTCACGGCACAGGTCTGAGGTTCTCCAGTTCTGGGGCTGTCCACCTGCATGCGCACACTGCCGAGAGTACTCAGCAAAGGTGTTGCACATGCAGAAGTCAGCCATAGAGCTGTCACAGTGGCACAGGTCTTGTATGCAAGTTTCAATGTAGTCCTGGACATTCACAAGCATGTTACAACTTGTAAATGCTTTGCTGGTCAATACTGTCTCACAGATAGAGGCCTAGGAAGGAAAAGAGAGAAGGTAAACAAAGTGTTAAGAACATATGAAAATAATTATTTAAGGCATGGAGCAGAAAAAAAAAAAAAAAAAAATCAAAGATTGATCTGGTCCAGAAACCCTTCCAACAGTATCCATAAGCTGATATTTAAGGAAAAATATAACAATAGGGCAAAACCACATGGAACTTCATTGAATAACTCTAGTAGCTTCCATATCCTTAGTTACCCTCAACTCGGGTCACTTCCCAAGCATTATATAATTTTTTAATATAAAGACATCCTAAGTAATTTTCTCTTTCAGGAAAATATGCAGTCTTTTTGTAGAAGGGGAATGCAAATTTTTGGCATTCACCTTAGCAAAGAATACAACATGAAATTAAGAATATTTTTCTTTTGAGACCTACAGCTGAGTCATATTCATGCTCTATTTTTTTCTCTCTTCTAAAAAGTTTTTTCCAAAGACAGAGAATGTATTCATAGTGAGAAAACAAATTTTGAGAGATGTTCTTACAAATTCTCTTGAGCAGTTCATCAGAGAAGTAGGAGGAATAGGATCATCACATTGCTCTGTGGGTCCATCCATCTTCTGCCTATTACCAAACTGTATGGGGGTCAGTTTTGTCTCTGTAAAAAACAGTTCAAATATTAGAATAATGCTTACTAAATTTTGCATGGAGTTCTTTTCTTTTGTAACACTACCTGCTATGACATGAACAGTCATATTACCAAATAATATATAATATAAATAAATATTATATATCTCACTAAAATATGAAGGGGGAAACATGAACAGTATATATAAAAAACTGGATCCTAACTATTGAAAACAAGTAGAAATTTTTATGTGGCAAGCCTTAAAATATCTAACAGTGATGGAAGTAGTCTAATCACATCTCAAAGTCCTGACTTTGCACAACTGACATCACAGGAATACATGAAGAAGTAACGCCAGTTTTCCAGTTAGTACAACCCACAACCCATATCAAAGTAAATTCTAAGAAGAAAAAAAAAAAAAGCACCAGTACTTAATAATGCTTATTATTACTTACTCCCTGAAATAAATTCATTGCTGACTGGAATTCCATTGAAGTCCCCACAAAGCCCACAAGTTTGATTGGCATATTTTTTATCTAGTTCCACCTAAAAAAAAAAAAAAAAAAAAAGAGGAAGGAAGTTTATAGAAATGGCAGTCTTGATGGTTAGGATCACAGCCTATACCAGTACTGCTTATTGCTCCTGAGCTGAGCTTGGTGGGGAAAAAGTGGGAATTTGAGAGAAGACAGAACAAGACACTAAAAATGGACACAAATCCAGAAGTAACTAATGCCTGCCTGGCTGTAATACTGCAAAGGTGTAAGCAGACTATTTTCAAAATACAGACTTTTTGCTGCGTTTTGAATGTTTTCTTACCAGAAGGGCATCTTGTCCATTCCAAAGGAAGGTCAGTCCCAACTTGGCAGAAACTTTCAAATAGTTGTTACTTCTCTCTATAAAGACTCCCATATGGCTGTAGGGCATCTGGACCCTGGGGAAAGATCATCATAAGTCAGCAGGGGTAGGGACAGTATATCCATTGAATGTTCACAATGATATCCTTTCTCATTCTCTTTGAGAATTTTCAACAGGTATCTGTGAAGAAATTAGAGCAGTAACTACTACAGACAACACAGGTTTTTAATATTTTGTCCATTTCCTATGCATTGCCTCTCATTGTGCAAATGGATCAGCCTTACTTTCCCTGTTGTTCCTTTTGGCTTTTCCATTAAGGGTGTTTTGCTGGGTAAAATGTTAGCATAGGTCTGTGGTTGTATTTTTCAAAAAAGTGCTGGGAGGCTCTGTTTTGCAGCCAGTGTGCTTCAGGATATTGCTATTTACTCCTTGAAGCATTTGCTAATAAAGGGACAGACTCCAGGCTTTCTGTGGCATGAGTGCCATTCAGGAAGCTGTACCCAAGATAACCTTTAGACCAGTTCACTGTACATAGCTGCCATAGCAGACAACTCACTGTGGGATAGCTGCCCAAATATTTACCTGGCCTTTTGGGTAGGTTTCACACCCTATGCCAAAGTCAGTGCTATAATTACTACATAGATAGCAAGTTTGCAGAACAGATAATTTTAAATTAATTCAGGTACAAGCTGAAGAGCAGTCACTGCTTTACTGCACACTGTTCAGTACAAGAACAAAAGCTGTCAAAAATTCCTTGCAGGGATTCTGCTGTGGTAAAATTAATGGCAACTACTAACTCCAAGGGAGTAAAGAATGCAGCTTATAGATTTAATTGCATACATACACTATTGAAGCAGTGGGACAGCATATTGGATACAGCTCATCTGAACAAAACAGCCATGGGGATAATCTGCACAAGTGACACTTAACTTGCTGTCAAGCCCTCCTTTGTTTCTGTTACTACCTCAGGAAGGACCTGAGCCCCCCCACTGCTTGGGAGCAATGATGAAATGAGGGAAAGGGACACTTGCTCCAAGAGCCCACTGGGAACAAAGTAGGAACATACAGTTGGTTGTCGAGCAGGACAGAGCTGGGGGTCAGTTCGATCACTACTCCTTCCAGCTTCATGATGACGTGAGTGATCACAGTAGCATTTTCCACCATTGCACGCCTAATCTGGATGTTGAAGTCCTCATAGGAAGACTTGCAGTTGGATGCAAAGATGTAATTGCAGACCCCAGGGAAGTAAAAGATGTCCCCATCAAAGGTCTTGAAGTGGAAGTTACCCCATGTGCTGCAAACACGGCCATTGTGATAGGGGTTGCCAGCTGTGGATTCAAAATAAGCAGTAAGAATTTTCTGTAGTTTTTTTGTAATACCCTCCGTGAAGATGTTTTATCCCTCCTGCTTCTTTCACCAGTCTCTTTCCAAAAAGCTCATCTTTTTTTCTGTTTTGTCAAGCTATTTGTTTGTCATTATTTATTTATTTCAGTTGCTTTTTGTGCTTAATCAGTTTTGCATAGGGATATAGGGACTAGGATCAAAAGAGACCTCTGGGGTCACTAGATCCAGTGCTCTAGTTCTGATTACTGCCCTATGCCATATATCCTTTCCTAAATGTATGGAGTCTTCAATTTTCACCATAAAACCATATAAAAGCTAGTTTAAAACTAGCTGATACTCCTACTTGGGAAGCCCACTCGTATCCACAACTTCTAAATGGCTGGAAGACTTTTGTCAACATCATCTGAAACATATTCCTGTCCCATATATCCCATGTCCTTGGTTGTTCTTGTGCCAAAATTACACTTCACCTTGAAGGGGTTCCACCTCCCTACTCCTCTCCCAGCCCATTTTAGAAAGCTCTTCTTTCTTTTCAGTTTTCCTTTCCTTGCAAGGATACTCTCTATAATCCCTGATTATCTTCCCCATCCCTTTCCACATTTACACTCAGCCTGCTTGAATTGTACCCTCTTCCTTGGATAAGGTGTCTCTACAGTTTTCAGCACACTAGTATTTTCCTCTCTTTACTGGAAACATATAATACCAGGGAAAAACATGTACAATAGGTATACATGTTTAAATGTATATATTAAATTTTTTTCTTACAGCTGCATCATAGACCAGTGAGTCAAAAGCACTGGATTCACATTTAGATTATCTCTGTTACCTGATTAATTAATTCTCTGTTAATTTTTTGGTTTATGATGCTAAAGGTTCTTACACAATTTATTGATTTTTTTTTCAGTCACTCCATGCTCTTTGTCATTAACAAGGGCACAGATATCTGAGCCATGACATTTGCTTAACTTACCCTTTACTTTCAGTGCATTTGGAAAAGGTGGAATGATTGTCACTCCTTGGGATTTGAAAGCTGGTAGAAAATAGAAAGGAGAAAAAATGGCCAGTTTTAATCTTTTCTGAATTCTTAGAATATGGGTAGAGATTGCCTAGTCTTTTTAGTGACTATTTCCTACTACTAGTTACGCTCTAGTGGAAAGTTTCCACAAGGTTTTATTGGTGGTTTTCACACAATGCTTTGTGTTCTGTCTTTCTATAAATTTCACTAACAGCTAAATTGCACAGACTGTACTACTTTCTTCCACCATTTGTTCAAGATTCCCATCTGATGCTGGGCCTGATACTCTGAACTCAAAAGGAGCAATATGATCCTCAGAGCACTGTATTGTAATACTGATTACAACAGCTATTTTTAAATAACCTGTGGCACATATTTTGCAGGGCAGACTTAATGATCAATTATTTCAGCCTGTCATTACTAATACACCCGTCAGCTTTGGATCCTTCCACCCTTATTTTGCACTGTCCAGTTATGTTTCATGCAAGATCTTGTAGCACTTACTTATTCTAATGTTTAAGGTAGTTACAGCTTTCTTATTCTCTTGTGAGTGATGCAGTCATCTTGACATAGGGTAAAAAAATGTGCCTTTAATTATCTACTATCAAGTACCTTTGTGATATGTATGTAAACACACACCTCTTCTGAAAGTACACTTTTAGATATAAGTTATGTACCTTTTGTGAAGTCAAAGATTAGATAACTGTATAATATCAGTAGAGCAGATCCACTGGGCCAGATCTCAGAGGAAATTCCCAAGCTTAGAGCAGTCAGAGCTTGTCTGAAAACTGGATATATTTTACAGAGGGCTTCTCTTTTATTGTGTGTGGTATGTGTGTAGCTAGGAATCAAAATATTCTCATAATCTTACTGTTTACCACCTTTATTCATAAAAAACCTTACAAAGAGATCAGCATAAAAATACCTACATTTTTGTCGCTGCAGGAGAGATGGAGAAACATACTCTGATTTTGTTGGTTGTTCACCACCCTGGGCTTGAACTGGATCAAGAAGAGTAGTAAAGGAAATGTGAATGTCTAATTTTCTTGAATCCCCTCATAATGTCTCAATTATATCTGTTTAAATGTGCATCACTCCATATATCAAAAATCAAAGACATGTTTATGTACAGGAGGCCAGAAATGCATCAGGACCCATGCTACATGCAATGATGGCCAAACACCACTCCTTCAGCCTTTTCCTTTTTTAATATTTTGGGTAATAAATTACTGCAGGGAAGCCATCAAAAACATGCCTGTGGTGATTTGAGCAGGTCCTTGTTCTGTCGCAGTATACCCCTGGATTCCCTTAGAAGCTTTTCAGATAAAAGGCCTAAATTTCTTAGGTTTTATGATCACTCTGTACTTTAAGCATTAGTAAAACCTTTTTTTCTAGCTAGATGGCTTTCAAATAAGTCCCTTTTGTACATGAAGAATTCACTTTAGGGTTAGAGGACTGATCTTTGTCAAAGCCAAAGTTACTCTGCATTTTCTAGTTTCAAGCATTCATTGTAATAAGCCACAGAAGGAAAATAAATGCAAAAGCCACACCATGGAAATAGGTCTTTCCAATAGATACATTTGTGCCTGTTGATTTTTGCCCCAAAGCAAAGAAACCATTTTTCATTCCATTCCAGTGCAGCATCAGAATTAGAATGTATGCATTATCCAGATGGGCTTTCAATGCTCTCACTGTTTGGTGAGAGTTCATCAGAGGGCAGGCTGAGGTGAAGACTGTTCTGGCCAGAGAAAAGTGCAAGGGGAGGTTCACCCCCTGCTGCACCTCACAAGGGCAGTCTGTGGATAGACCACTGAAGGGGCTGAGGCTGAAAGCAGAGCTGTGGGAACTCTGCAAGTCCCCTCCTGGGGAAAGAGCTGGGGTTAGAGGACATGTGTCCCTTTTTAAGGTAGGAACCATTCAGTGCTTCTGGGCTCCTTCAGTGCCCTCCCTCAGAGAGTTTCCTGCTTCTCTCTCCATGAACTGCGTGACTCTGCTCTGTCTCATGCCACACACACTGCAGATCCCTGCTGCCAGTGCATGTTTTACTAATGCTACAGCTAGTCCTGTCATAGGCTACTCTTTGACACTACCACTTCTTAACATAAGTTACTGTGGAACTACCTAGGAGCAGGAAAAATATGAAATAGAGTAGGATCTGCATGAGAGATTAAAATGCATTTAAAACTAACATTGTTGTTACATTAAACTTCAAGGGAAATTATCAGATGAAAAAAGAAAAAAAATAATTAAAGGGGTCTCCATCCATCTGTGACTATTAAGTGAATAGAATATTTATAGCAGTTCCATTTGTTTTCAGCTCATTGCAAACCAACCCTGTGTGCTAAGCTTTTATGCAACTTCATAAACAAGAGTAAATTAATTTTTAAAACCTATTGCCTGATGATTTTAAAGCAAAATCCTCCCTTTCTTCAATACTTTATCATCACCTGATAAATAGTCTTTAATAATTCATGCAAACATACTGCTCCACTGATTTGTTCCTTTCTAGAGGTACCTTTGCACCTTTTGGTTTGTACATTTAGAAATGCTATACCACCTTAAAGTGGATATTGAAAGCTAAATGCAAATCTTGAGGCATTTTTGTAGACATACAAGTTCAGAGAAAGTTCCACTCAATACAGTGGAGCTGTTCCAGATTTCAGCTGGAGAAAAACAGGATGACAGTTTCAAAAGAGTTAATTTTCTCTTCTTAGGAAAGAAAGTATTTTAAGCAGAAAATAAAATCTTTCAAAGAGGTAACAGGTTCATTAACTTCACAAAGCCTAGAAATAAATGCTTCAAACTCCAAAGCAAGTTATAAATTCTTTAAAACAGTAAAAATGCCAAGCAAGTGAATCCTCCTACCTTTGATCTGTATGAAGACCAGGGCTAGTATTGATATCCATAGTGGTATTCGTGTCCCACCACCTTTACCCATCTTCTGGAGATCCAGTAGAAACCACTGAACAACCTGCCTCTGAGGAAATACCTGTCTGTTCCCAACTCTTATATAGTGAGAGAGTAGAAGTTGGCTCAGTTCCCAGATTGTTTCACAAGGCTCTTAAAAGGTGGGGCTTCAGACATTTTCGTTTTCTTTTGCAGGTGCAGAGGTAAATAGAGGATGCTCTGACTTTCCCTCAGCTATTTACACTCTAGGAGGAGTCTTCTTTCCACATTTTTGATGAAATGTCATGAAGTGAGCAAGAAGAATTTTTGCTTAGGCTTAGTCTTCCCAAATTTTTGTTTCTTGTGGGATAAACAAAATTTAAGAGACTTTTGAGCAGGAAGTTAGTTTGAGTGAATTGCTTCTTTTTTTTTTTTTTTTTTTTTTTTTTTTTTTTTTTTTTGGGGCAAGTGATGATAATTAGCTGCTCAAAAAACTCCAAAGAAGTTCCACCTGATACAAATTTTTTAAAATGAGTTTACACCTGCCTGTGTAGCTACTTTGCTTGTGAGAATGAAAAAATCAAATGCTATTTAAGGTCAGCAGTTAGCCCACTGGCCAAGCACAACATAGGTGTACACAATGAACAACCCTTCTGTGTTGGCAAGTCAGTAATATGGCCTTTTCCTTGAGGGTCTCCTCTTCTCATATGGGCAATTTTAGCGTTATTTCAGCTGTTTTCCTTCTAACATGATTTCACCATTAAAAATTAGTTGGATTCTACCTATGATTAAAAAAAATCCATGTGATTTCTAGCCCTAGAGATATTAAAGGACAGATATGCAAGAATATTTTCTGGAATATTCCTTATCTTAGGAACAATGAGGGAGTGAAGAATGCTTTTTGAGTATGTTAAAATAGTTATTTACAGCTATAGCACTTTGGGAAATTAACCTTTTATAGTGTTTTACCCTGGGGTGTAGAGGAACACAGTCTTTCACTAAGAGAGCAGATCCCATAATCCCACATGGGTTCAAACAGTTCCTGCAAGGAAGAAGGTACTGGTATAGTCTCCATATTCTTTGGAGTCATTACAATGTTCAAAATAGAATGAAGTTTAGCTGTTATGGAGGGATGTTAGATGTGCATTGAAAAGGTAGTGAAGTACTCACTTAGGTTGCCTAGGAATACTGTCCAATTTCCATCACTAGGTTTATAAAACACCTACATGAGAATGGTCTAAGTGCTGTTGATAGTGCTCTGGGGCAAGAGAATAGACTAAATGTCCATTTGAAATTCTCTCAAGTATTATTTTCTATTATATTTTTTGAAAAATTATCGTGGAATCATAGAATTGTAGAATGGTTTGTGTTGGAAGGGACCTTCAAGATCACCCGGTTCCAACCCCCTGCCATGGACAGGGACACCTTCCACTAGACCAGCTCGCTCAGAGCCCCCTCAAACCTGGTCTTGGACACTTTCAGGGAATGGAGCATCCACAACTTCTCTGGGCAACCTGTTCCCACTCCTCACAGAAAGGATTTTCTTCCTAATATCTAATAAAAATCTACTTTCTGTTAGATTTGAATGAGTAACTTTAACACTAAGAGGGAAATAAAAGGCACAATTTTTACCTAAGCAGCGAAAAAAAGCAAGAAATATGCTGCTTGTCCTGAACATTTTAAGAGTACAGCTATTTAAATAAAGGTGACATAACAAAATTGAATTGGAAGTTTTGAGGAAAAGAATCGTTCCATTTCAGTCATGAGTTATACCTTTGGCAACTTCACTGATGTGTAAGTCTGTAGAATTTACTTAGCACTATTTAACAAGGAAAAGAAGATGCCTACAAGATACTTGTACATACAGAAATAGATGCAGTGAAAATTTAAGGAAGTATCATTGTCTCTAATGGTTAGTATCAAAGTTCCAGGATGAAGATCCAGAAAAAAAAAATTAATGGATTTAAGTCGTATGTAATTAAAGTAATGATAAAATAGTATGGTAAACTCATGTGGGTAACACACATAAGCTTATAAAGAGATTATGTTAGTGAGAAGAAATATATACTTTATGAATCATTGTATTACTTACCACTAAAAATCAAATAATATCAACAGTTGCTATGCTGTGGTTTCATATACATTTCCTGCATGTTCAGGGAAGTACTGTGATCTCTGAGACTTCCCAGTCTGGTCATCACAATTAGTCTGAAACTGGTTTACAGTTCAGTTTAACCCCTTTAATTGAGCTTTAAGGCACCATCAGAAGTGATTTCCTATATCTGTATTTTTGACTGAAATTTTCAAATCTCATATATGTTATGAATCAATTATCCTGACACTACTAGGTGGTTAATTCATTGATTATGACATATGACCTTTGCCATATTAAATTTCTTGTCTTGTGCTATTCCTTCTCAGAAATTATTATAAAATGTATTAAAATGTATGAGACTTGCAAAACTAATCTCAAATATTTATGATAAATTGATTTAGTAGCATTATTAATTATTCAAAGACATAATTCCTCTTCAAGTTGTATTTCACCTTCATTCACTCAATAGACATACACAGGTGACATGGGAGAGTATATTTTAAAAATTAGTTGTGAGTAACATGTCTGATTTCTGTACCTCCTTATGATCAAATCCATATAATTGACTGCATAAATGGAAATATTAATATGTTAGAATGTTAGAAGAATTTATTGATGTACCTACTTTTTTTTTTTTTTTAAACAGAAAAGATAGAAGATTTTGCCATTGCATTTGATCTGAAAACCCTGTAATTTCTTTCTTTAGTTTCTCTTCCTTTTTCACAGGATCATATTCCTACTCTCTGCATCCGAGATATTAAATTGAGTGAAATATTTCAGCAAAAGAGTTGTTAGCATTTCCAGATCCATTCTTTTTAACCTTATATGATCAAATGCTACATGGTGGTGATGCTATTTACACATCTTACTCATGATTTCTGAATCTCCTTCTTCATAAAATAAAATGAGACCATCATATCTTATCTTCAAAGATACCCACTGTAGAATGCAAATAAAATGTGATAGCAAACTTGGTTAACTTTTGGGTGCAATAATGGCTGAAATCAGTGTCTCCATTTATAGTTAAAAAAGACAGAATGATGAACTCAGAGGGACATGCAAAACGTTGTCTAGTCCACCTGGTGCCGTACTGGAGTAGGGAGTATTCATTTCAAGGGAAGGAGGAAAACATGTAATTGACAGGAATTACAGCACTTCCTCTGTGTGAGGGCTAAAATGCAAGTTAAAAAGGCACTGCCTACTTGACTTTTCTTTGACTGGTCATTTGGTCACTTCTGATGCCATGTTTAAGCTCCAGAGTGATGCTGGGACACTTGGCATGGAATTCAGCTGAAGTACCATTCTCATTGTCCCTGAATTTTGACCTGTGCAAATTCAAATGCATTATTTTTATCTTAAAGCTTCTATGGAAAATTGAGGTAACTGATCAATTTCAGCTTAAAAGTTGTTCATTAACATTATAGGTGTTCTCTTACTTATGTGAAGATGAAGTACATGCCAATCACCTGCAGTATTTCACAGTATGACACAATATAGTCTATCTAAAGTAAAGCTATATTTAAAGACTAAAAAAGGGATACAACTCCTTTAATGTTCTTTTCTAGTCAAACACAGAGCCATTGATCCATTCCTTCCTTTACTTCCAAGTGCTTAGATAGAACTCATTAATTGAAAATCAAATCACATTGTAACTGAGATTTTAAGCCATTTCATCAACACGAGTAGTTCTCCTTCTGTCTTTTAGTGTGTGCATTGTAGAGGTGCAATACATAATGCTTTAACCTCCATTGCAATCTCTATGTTTTACTTTGAAACAAGTAATTGGTAACTTGATATTAAGATCTGTTACTGATCTGTTCATTTCAAAGTTTGAAGTGTCATTTAGAAGAACCCAAGCAAAGCATAACATTTTAAATCAGGCACTAGAGACTGACTAGCTGCAACATAAGAGGCTGGTTAATACTGACAAGATTAGGAAGTAAAAGATACTGAGTATAATATCTCTCATATTATTCAACCGTTATCCTCTGGGAAGCAAATCCATCAGAGAACAACTTAGAGTAATGTATTAAGACATTCTCCTTATAGAAAGCTAGTAAAGATCTGATGCAAAGTTAGTAAAGGAAAAACAGTGCGCACCCTGTACCATGAGAAGTACGAACATGGGGGCAGAGTAGGGTTTCCATGTTGTCTGAACACGTCCGGGATATCTCTGTGTGTAAAGGGGATAAACACTTAAGCCTCTTTACAGTTTGTAAACACAGACACCACAACCGTGCATGCCAATATTTGCAATTGGTATTATAGACTAAAAAACTGATGTACACACACATACTGGAGGGCATATTTACGTTGTGCAGTGGTGCGTGTTGCAGAGATCCCTCTGCTAGCCGCCGCCAAGGTAAATTCATAGTAGGAAATAGTGTCACTGCATCAGTATGAAGTTGCACCTAAAAGAATTTGCTTTTCTCTGAGGCATTGACACTGCAGCATTGTGTTTGGGATCAGAGCTCTGCCTAGACCTATGCAATGCCATAGGGCCACTGCAGCACTGTTTAAAGCCAGCTGAAAGCTGGGATCTGTTATGCAGTGCCTTCGTGACCCAAATCAAAAATCAGTCTTTGGAAGCAATTGGTGTTTGCAGGCTCAGAGAAATAAATGGTACAACTAGTCAAAAAGTGGGTGAAATGAAGGGCTATGCTGAGCAGTACCTATAAACTCTCAAAGGAACCCGTTGATGATGCACAAGCTCAAAAAAATCTAGGTTAATATACTCTGGTGGACAAAATTCTGCTGAATGAAAATTTGTTTGTTTGTTTGTAATAATATAAACTACAGACTGCGTATAAATGGAGATAGATATGTATATATACTATTACCACTAGCAGGTTTTGTCAGAAGTTCTATTATAAGACCCTTGAGTATATTGCCTTATCTTAAATCAGTAGCAGACATTCCAAAAAAAAAAAAAAAAAGTATGGAGGATATAATTAAAT